ACCCCGAGTGCTCCAGCAACAACAGGCCTGTGCGAACTTTTATTTGCAGGCTGACTAACGCCTGCTAGCATGTTAGCTCCTGCTGCCTTGTCAAATAACGCCGGCCATCACTGACAGCGAGTTACAAACTTAACGCGAGCAGACAGGCGATGAGCTCACGGTAGCAAGACAGGTAACACACAAGTAACTTCAAAAAAAATAAAATAATAAAAACCCCGTAAGCCATTTCCACGCAACGACGCTTACTTGTGTTCAAAGTTAGTGTGCCGACGTTAATGTCGAGGTTTTAACGTAAACGTGTTGACAGGCGGACTGCGACAGCGTTAACCTTAAAAAGCAGTGTACTTACCAAAAGGTGGAAACGCAATAAAGCTAATGTTAGCTCGTTAGCAAGCAGGAGCATCGCTCGAAAGCGCGAACATGTTGAGCTAACGTCAGCCGACAGATAACGCTACTGACCAAGGGGAAATGGTCACACAGGCTATAAAAACCAACACCAAGCGCTGGGAAACGATAAACCAGCACCGCAATTACTCGACGAACCTTTAATCGTGAACCAAGCCAGGTGTTGGACAAACCCGAGAAACATTAGGTGTTGTGTTAGCCAACACTAGCGAGCTAACGCTGCTAGTGAGTCGCGACGTTAAACGATCTTTTGCGGCTAGCACCGCTCTTCAGATGAAGGCCCGACCTAACTATTTGTTGTCAAAACAGCCGCCACACTGTGCATCTTGACCGCCGGCTTCGAGCTGCCGTTCGTGTTCAAGTTGCAGCACTCACCAGCTGACTTGTAGCTCTTGCCATGGGAGTTTTCCGCGAGTATTTATTTGGAATAAAATAATTAGAGAAGCTCCAGTAATGGCTGCCTCTGCGCCTTCATTTTCGAGCTGTGACGTCGTTCCACAACAATGTTACCGCAGGACAGCAGAGGAGAGTCCCGCTGTGTCCGCCCCCCTCGCCACATTTACAACCTACTGAACTTCATCTCACTGATAGCGATTGAGTCAGGCGGCAGCAGTTGTTGATATTCAAACACCGCAGCAAACGTGGCCTGCAAAACTCTCCTGATGAAGCTTTGTGGCGAGGTTTATCTACAGGTCGTTCACACCATTTTAAAAACTAAAAGTTTTGGTGTAGAAGCGGGCCTTCATAATCCACAAGTCTGCGTTTACTGAGCTCTTTATCCGTCTAACTGTGTTTTATCCAACTTAAACTGAGACAACCCTGGATACCAATAGACACGTTCAATTAAACAACGCTTGCAAATATGTATTTATTTAATTTGTTTACATTATAAAAACATACAATTTGTTGCTTTTTTTTTAATACCTGTACAAAACTGGTTAACTCAAAACAGCTTTTAGTTTATGCATGAGTATTGAAAAAGTTTTGCCAGTCCTTGTAGTATAAGAATACATAGTAGAAATGTGCTTTATTGTGATGACTTTGATTCAGTCTCTTCCTCCTCTTCATGATGATGTGAGACTGTTTTTGACTCGCTTTCGCTTTTGCCTTCTGCTTCTTCATCTTCTTCATCTTCTGCTTCATCTTCGTTATCCTCAGAGTTGTCCGTATCCTCACTAGAATCATCGTCTTCTTCAGGTGCACTTAATACAGAAAAGACAAAGATACTTAGTAACCACACTCATGAATAACAAACTCATGCACAGATATGTTTTAAGATCATTTGGTAATTTTCCAATCAATATTAGCTTGTTGGTTTTTGAATTTTAGCAGACGGTATATGACTTTCTGTTAAAAATTTAAAAGTTGTGTAAAGTGACATACTACTAGGAAAACTAATTAGAAAAATGCCGATGCTAAAGATTGTCAGCAGTAAAATATGACTGGATCAGTAATAAACATATGCATCACTACAAGATTTGCAGACATCTGCAACTGAAGAATTACCTCACTCTGAGTTAAGTTAAACATTTAATGCCCCCATGAGCAATATTAAAAGCTTACCACGGACGTCTGTTGAGATTTCTACATTCAACTCCTGAGTCGACATCAAATGGATCTGTGATTGAGATATATGATTAGCTTTTATTAAGAAGAAAATTGCTTTAACCATAGAGATCAGAACATGCATCCTTCTCCGAGTATGGGGCAATTTTCCAGAGATGCTGGAAACAATTAGCCTGGTTCCAGACTTCTGAATCACTGCCCACATCTCTGATTTGTTCAGCGATCCAAATAGAATCAAATTAATCAAAATCAAATGAATAAAGTTAAGAAAATTGGTTATCAGTCTGATTATTGGCTATCAGTCTAGGAAAAATGCAAGGAACGTTCACAATAGTGTTTGAAGTTTTGGAGAAAGCTGCAAGAAATATGGGTCAGATATCAAAACTTACAGTGACCTCTATTTTCTGATGAATCATACTACTCATAAGTAATTCATGAAGCTTAAAAGCCTTAAGAACTATGTTTTATGACTTTCACATCCCGAAAACAAGTATGAGACCAGTGTTTCCCCAATAACAATTTAGCTGTGGTGAATCAGCATAAAAGAAAAAGTGTTGGAGCAACTTCGAAACACAATAACATTTTTATATTTTCGTCCAGTTTCTCTAAAATGCAGCTTCTTGTGCAATGATTCTGCTTTCACCATAGTAAAGTTTAATGTCATATGGCTATATCATTGTATTACTACTGTCTGTGCTTTTACCTGTGCTCTGTGCTCTCATATGGTTATGTCATTGTTTTACTATTTGTGCTTATGTAAGTTTCTGAAAATTAGCTAGAATGGCTAAATCTACCGCAGATTCAAGTGCTCATGTTGATTAATGTGCATTTTCCCTCCTTTAATAAACAAACAATACATATGACCCTATTTTAGGACTACAAGATGTACATGAAGCTAAACCGAGACTAAAATAAAGATAGATTTGGGACTAAAACCCAAATAATCCCCTACCACCTCTGCTACACAAATATGTAGGGAGAACACTGGATTTTTACCAAACTCATCCTCCTCTGGTTTAGTTGTGAGAAAATCCTTTTCTACAGACAGCAGCTCTTCCTCTGACTGGCAAGCAGCATAGCGGTCCAGCAGCACTTTATTGAGATCCAGGAACACTGTCCCCCACTTGAATTTCTTCAACAACAGCAATGCGAGTTCTTCAAAACCTACAAAATCAGATACAGAATGTTATAGTGTCACGGTTGTAACAGGATACAAAAAGCAGTCAGGAAGACAATACAGTACATAATTCCTGAATAACTAAAGCTCAAGTCTTACCTACAATGCAGAATGTGGCAGCAAAGGCCTCAACACACGACAACTTGCAAGGCTTGCCATAGTTGACGGGGTTTGCAGCTACAAGGTACGGCAGTAACCTGGGATGAGTTCCAACCATCTTATTAAAGGGAGTCTCCTCCAGTTTGGCCCAGGAACAATCAATCACTGCTACCCCGCTTTGTGCCACAATCGCTCTGTGGAAGGTCCACACAAAAAGGTTTTTTAATCACAAACTATTTCATTATCATTTGATCAAGAAATGTATGGATTAATGGTAATATCATTTTGATAATCAATGATAATAATAATCAATCCCTAACCCATTTTAGTTGTATTATAGTAAAAAAAAGAAATTAACATCCAGGCCTAGCGATTTAAAAATGGTAAGATTAGCTTGGTATCTTTGTTTCATTTTATATGATGTGCTTTTTTGGCTACTGATCAGACATTAAAAAAATCTTAAAATCAAACATTATACATTAAATAATGACTGGATGAATTATGTCATGTGTCAGCTTATATTGTCTTATGAATCCTTATTATTTAAGATTATTTGAAAGCTATCAGTGATTTAAATGGGTGTTGAATGGAGGAAAAAACTACACACCTGTCTGCTGGCGTCACATATTTTGTGCCCATTGGACTCAGTATGAGTCCATTAAATCTCTGATTGAGGCGTAGGTTGCGTACAAAGCCCTTGCGTACCAACTTTCTGCCGGTACAACGTTTGGGATCACAGTGACCCAACTCCCACATGGCAAGTGGACAAGGCAGTTTCACCTGCGGGGCCTCTGCTCCCTCTTCTAGGTGGAGACTTGCTGAAAAACACAGTGACAGAGGACAAAGTGACAGTGTACATTATGATATAATATATTAAGTACAAGGTACTTTTTGGGTTTTTCGTTTTTTAGAACTTTGCACTTTATTCTCAATTACATCAATCTATAACCAATTAACTATTATTCACTTACTATGTATCAATATAGCATGAATTAACACAGGTCGAGGGCTTTTATATTCCATATGTGCACATTTGAAAAGAAGAACAGCCAACACTATTTCACCCATTCAGATATATTCTTAGGAGGTTAATACATCAACAACTTATGGTCCTATACTAAAATACAGGAGTTCCTTGAAAATCTTGCACTTCTATTTAAATACTTTGATACATTTATCCTTTCTAGAATATTTAACATAGCATTTTAAACAGGAGAACTATTGCACTTCGTTAAATCTTGGGCAGTTGTTGAGGTGACACATATTTTTGGATTGTAAACAGTCAATGCATTATTACCTTCAAAAGCAGTGTGCATATCTTCTGTAAAGGCCTCTAAGGATTTCCCCTTCATTTTATGCCTTTTGTCTTTGGCCTTGTTGTCAGGGCGCACGAACTTGCCTTGTTTCTTTCGTCCCATGTTGAAAGCAGTGGACAGCTACTCAGTCAGGTTACCTTCTGCCAGATTACAGTGTGCATTTAAACCAACCAGCATCTGTTTACGTGCTTACACTCACATTAGCGAGCTAGCTATGCCACTGCCACCAGCATGTCTAAAGACTTTATCTCGCAAAAAGGAAAAGTTTCGTTGTGTCTCTACGCGAGCTCAAATATATTATCTCAGTACAACTGTTATTAGCCTCCGTTTATACTGCAATGCTTTATATATAATTTAAAACACAGTTTAGTTTTACTCGTGGAAAGCACGTCGTATTTCCAAAAAAACAGCGCATGCGCACATATTATTTTCATCACGTGACATATCACCTGACGAATGACCAACAAAGCAGGAAATGTAGCTAGAAAACAAACGAATAACACATTTAGTCAGTCAATAATCAGCCATGGATTGTTTATGTAACGGGATACATCCTTTATTAAGGCTGTGGATGGTCTATGTGTCTCTTTTCAGTAAGTGCTTACATACTCAGCTCAGTATACTTCGTTTTATGTTGCAGTAATACCAAACCAGATGCTCCACATTGTGTGGTGTGTGTTCATTGAGCTCAATTGGGTCTGATGTTGACTTGTTTTATTTACAGTAAGCCATGGATTCGCCGGTAAAATGAAAATAGTAGAGGAGCCAAACACATTTGGGTACGTTAAGCTACAACATATGTCACAGTGTGCGCCGTGTTGACATTAGGCCCCTTTTTGACTTATTTTCTCTGTGTTTAGGTTGAACAATCCCTTTCTGGCCCAGGGAAGCAGGCTACAACCTAGAGTGACCCCATATCCAGTGTCTGGTAAAAAAAAAAAAAAAATAGTTTCACATAATTTAAAGCCTACATTTTGTTTTGTTTCATTTTGTGTTTAAATGTTGTGAAGGAAAAGGGCAGATGTTGACTGAAAGTTATCAAGAGATTTTCTGTTGATCAACTAATTACTTATCATATCAACATTAATGTCTTCCTCAAGGCCCTACACATCTTCAGCGGCTTGCTGGAAAGTGCTTCAGTTTCACAGAGTCAATGTGAGTATTTTACATCATATATCACTTGAGCCTTACATTTGGGTTTTTATTCCCCATTTCTGCTGGCTCTCTACAATGACCTGTTTTGGATCTAGAATGAAAAAGCATTACACATCTGTGTGCCTGGTCATTTTGCAGGTATAAATATGAATTCTGTCCATTTCACAACATCACCCAACATGAGCAGTCATTTAGATGGAACGCCTACAGTGGGATACTGGGGTAAGATGCAGTTCATTTACTTAATGCTACCTACAGACACCTTTTATTGCAAATATTACCATGTGAAAGATTGCAAAATAGGCTGTATTTTTGTTTTTAGAGCAGCCTTTTGTGTGTTCCTAACAGGATCTGGCAGGAGTGGGAAATCACAAACAACACATTCACAGGCATGTGGATGAGAGATGGGGATGCTTGTGGGACCAGAAACAGGGAAACAAAGGTGTGTGGTGTTTTAAAGGTTTCAGCATATTCTTCATTTAATGCCATTTAGGAGCTCCCACAAGATTCTTCTTAAATATAAGACCAATTTAGGAGATAATGAATGGAACCTGAACATCAAACTTATCAGTTCATATCCAATCAGCCTATCAACTTAAAATCATTGTCACAATTAAATTAGACCACTAGAAAATTTGTTTTGTAACTTGTTACTTGTCATGTTTCTGTAGGTGATTCTGGTCTGCGGTACAAGCAGCAAGCTTTCTCAAGTCTCAGAGCCCAGTACGTGTGTGTACTCGCTAACCTTTGAGACCCCACTTGTTTGCCATCCACATTCTCTTTTGGGTGAGAAAAATCTGACAGCACAAGTCAGCAGGGTTAAGTCAGTGTTGATAGTGATTTCTTATCATTTGTATGCTCCTTTTTAAGTGTACCCGACACTGAGTGAGAAGCTGCAAAAGGAATGGGATGAAGCTGAGCAGGCTCGCTATGAAGGTCTTCTTACTGAGCAGGTACAGACCAGTGGCTGACAGATCAAAACGGCACCACTGGCTTGATCACTTGCAGGCTAATGATGATGTATAGATGTACATGTACATGTACAGGGTAGGGTTCCCAGAATGATTTAAACAAATACATATAGTCCTTTGTTCCATTTACATTTAAAAACTCAAAGCTCAGCCCTTTTTTTTTTAAACGTACTAGTTTCCCATTTTTATTCCAGTGTCTTATGGTCTTGTCCACTAACACACAATGTGTGTCTGCTGCAGGGATACAACAATCTTTTGAGGGATATTTTTGAAGATGCTGGTCTCCTGAAGAGCCTAAAAGTCAAGATAAAGCTGCCAGAAGTTGCAGCTGATTCAGGAACACACAACTCTTTACAGAAATGCACAGAGGTGTGTGTATTTATGTTCTCTTCCAAATAATAGCCTACAAAATGTGTACTATTATTACAATACTACTTTAAGTGTGTGACAGAAACTGTATATTCTCTCCATATATATTTTCATACAGGATTTCCAAAAGCAGAGAGAAGAGATTGGGAGACTGCGCGCTCTTCTCACTCAGCACAATATTCCTTTTGATTCAAAGCAAAGTAAGTCGGCAACAATCCTGCTTTACTATTTTAAATTTTATAAAATGTGTAATAATATTTATATGCAATATCTTTATGTCATAGATGAAGGAAAAACCACAGTGAGTACAAAAGTTAAGGACCAACACCTAAGGGGAGACAATGGCCTTTTTGATCTGCAGTGAACATCTCCCAGAGCAGGCCACCTTCACCATTTGTGTGCATTGAGCAGGTTTTAAAGACTTTGTTGGTCAGTGTGAGCGACAAAGACAGCTGCTGGACAGTATTTCCGTCACTGGTGACCGCACTACAGGTTAATTTAAACAAGTGACACTGAGGAAAAACTGAACTTGTTAGTTCATTACAAACTTGTCAGACTTTTGAAGACCTTTTTTTTTTTTTTCATGACGGTCGACCAGATCTCTCCAGGATTTTCATCAGAAAGGATAATCGTAATAGTTAATGACTCAAACTCTGGAAAGACGCAAGATGTTGACAAATAAAAAATGGTTTTAAAGAGAAAATAAAAAGTTTAATATATTCATGTTTCAACGTTTGCTTCAGCAGGCTTACAAAGAGAATATTGAGTCCCTAAAAACCATTACAGGTAACCATTATAGGTAAAGAATTAGTAACTCATTAGTAATCAAGTACTCATACCATATTTGTCTACTTTCTCATTTTTTTTAAAGTGGTGCCCTAAAAAACTGAACACCTTGTTCCAGGTAGTGGACACTATTAGAAAATATCTACAAAGGGTACAAGTGGAATTCAAAAAGTGGACAGAACAAAACATTTTATTAAATAACTGGTATTCGCGTGTGTGTGTGTCAGTCAGACCAAAAGGGATGTAAAAAAAGGCTTGTGGTGTTATTTATGTGTGTGGCTGTGAGAGACATTTAAATGTATTTTGAATATTAAGTTTACTGTATTTGGGTGTATTTTTATAAATCCAGGAAGTGATGTAAACAGCCTTCACCCACATATAGAGTCTCAGTTTCCTTCCTGAAAAAGTTTGTAACCTTACAGTGTGCCTCAGTAGCACAGGAGGCCCTACATTCCCCCTGAAACTGCAGCCAGAACTGGCAGCTGCTCCTATACCTACTGTATATCTGTTCTGGAAATAGAGTTGTGAATTGGTAGATAACCAGAGACATACAAATCTCAAATGCACATGTATGAAACATGAACTGTTAGGCTGGAAGGAGTTTTTGTGATAAGTTAGTTGTAAAACCAAAACATGTTAATCATGCTTAAACTTTGAGTGGATGAGAAAAGTTATTCTCATCGGTGACTTCACAGATTATGGGCTTTGACAGGCACAAACATGTCTCGACTACAAACATTCCTGAGACTTTTAACTCCAGCAGTCTCTAAGCTTTCTGTATCATCTACCTGGATTTACATCTCTCCTCATCTGTCCAAAATGGTCAAACTGGATGCTGTACTCTGAACATTTGGAGTTGGAAAAAGTAGTGAAAAACTACTTTTTATTACAGTGTAACATGTATTAATAAAATGAGATTTCATGTTTTATAAAATGTTTTGGTGACTGATTACAAATAGGCAATATAATAACATCATGAAATTGAGAAGAAAAATTAACCTAAACATTAAAATTAAAAATGTGCGCAATACTGATAATTTAAAGAAAACTTATCCTTTCCCCAAAGCAACCTTCAAAAAAACTACATATAAAACAACACGTTTTAATCATAGCCTGAGACCATGACAATCATTCAGTCCACTGATAAAACAAACATGGTTCAGTCTTTTTTTTTTTTTGTTGGACTTGTGTCTCTTTCTTTGATGGTGGTGGGTTCAGGAAAGCAGCTGTATAGCTTCTCTGGCTCTGTGCGCCCTCTGTTGGACAACTTTGTCCTCTGGTGCTTGTCCTGATTCTTCAACCAGGGCTAAGGCCTTCTGCACTGTGGTGTCTTTGGCTCCTCCACGCAGCCCCTCCAGGTACTGGAGCAGTATGGGAAACTTCTCATCTGGGATCTGAGAACGAGTATTTTAAATGATTACGTTACTTGAATGCTCTTGTCTGTCCATTTCACATATTATAATTGCTCTTGTCCAGTGGTGGGTTGTAATGGATTTCAAGTAACGCACATGAGTAAAAAAGTATTTTATAAGGACTTTTTAAACTGTACTTCTACTTTTTACTTTGCTACATTTGCCATTTAAACCTTTGTCACAACTTGTCTGCTCTAAATGCAGGGATTGAGTGTAGAGGGGGAGCGAGTGATGAGCACCTCTACTGCAGACGCCAAGTTGCAGCTGTGTGGAAGAAAAATAATCACCACCTGTCTTTTGACCATGATGCGATGATGAAGGAGCAAAAACTAGTACAGGAGGCAGCATCTAGTGACATTCCCTTACCACTTCTTATACCAAAATTTAGACAACAGTTACATGGTGAAGTGCTTGCTGTGCTAAGCTCTTTGCTTTTAAAAACTCCTCTTCTTCAAGCACACTGAAGTATATATAAATTGCATATACTGTAGGTGAAAATGTAGTTAGCAAGCAAATGTTAGCTATGTTAATCCTTCATGTGAAACGGTAATCTTTGATGTTATGATAATGACACTAACTCATCTAGTAACTAGTGGTCTGTGGCCAGTAAGCTTTTAAAATGGTGTGATTTAGAAAGCAGTGAACCTAACGTAATGCCAACTTCAACGCTAACATTACTTTCATAGTTGTAGTAGTTATACACCCTAAACAAATATTTACTTTATATTTAAATTAAGTTACTTAACTTTGAGTAATTTATACTGTACATTTTTCTTTTACTTGAGGTTTTTTTATGGAGTAATTTTACTTTTACTAAGTTATAGATTTTCAGTACTCTACCAACCATTATCCTTTTCTAATAAATCTACAGTATATTGTACATCTAAAACAATGTAATTTTAAAAGGCAGCACAAGCGAGCATCTTTAAATGTATTTGTAGGGCAGTTCATAAAGATTGATAGTGTAAGAACTACACAAATGAGGTAAAATATTCAGATATACTGAAATTAACTTCTGGCAAATTCATCCTACTGTTCTACAAGAATGTTTGTAGCAGTGCTTCGTACAGCTCAACCATGCTACATTCAAAAAATGTTGGTTAAAAAGACATTCATTTAGATTAGAGAGTGGGTGTAATTCACAAACAATCAAACAGGAAGACATAGCTCTGAGGTCAGCACCTCCCTCTCTTAACCTCAGCTGTGAAAAAAATCCCCCATCGTCAAACCCTAATGCAGATTATTTTTACCTTTTCGGAGTCGAACATATGCTGCAGTAACCACGTCTGCCTGGTCTTCTGGAACTTCCACTCTGTACGGGTTTCAGCCCAGCTGCAAAGACAAAACCAGTGCGAGTTTTATGTGTGGGCTGCAGTACTACATACCACAGAGTTACTTTATTCTGAGTTGCTTTATAGTTTTTTATGGTTTCTTTTACATAGGCAACTACACTGTGCAATATATATTATCTTACGGGTCTTTTATACAAAAGTTTTTTTCTCTTTTCTTTTTTATATATGCATAGTTATTTTGTACATACTGCCTCCCTTTTATTCCTGCAGTGCTATGTGCCATTGTAAAGTAATTTAATTTTGATGCAAATCCAATTGACAAAGTTTGTCTAAGTCTAAGTCTAGTGCTCCCAAATACAGACAGGTAAGAAAACTAAAGGAAAAATCTGAATGAAAGAGTGGAGAAACATGACAGATGCTTTAATACAGGAAACAAGAGGTCACTGAATAGTTTAAGGAGATAATGATGCAAATCAATTGAACACCTATGGCAGAATGGAGAGGGTTCCAGAGACTCAGGTTTGTGTTGGTTTTCCTTTAAATTGTCACCCATCTGGGCAAAAACAAAGATCTGTCAAACTCATTGGCCCACATTTGCAACACAGACTTTCTGCTTTTTTGTCTCAAGTTGAGACAGACTACAGGAAGTTTTCACACCTTTAAGACACAATTCAATTCATTCACCATACTGAAACAACCTCAACCATTACCAACAACCCCAACCATTACCAATATCTGTCTGACACATTCATAGTAAAACATGCATGGTTTAATGGTTGAGGCTGTTGTTTGAGTGTGGTGAATGAATTGAATTGGTGTGAAAACCAGTTGTAAGCTCCTTAAGGCACAACTCTTCTCAATCTACAGACACAGTGGGTCGCCTTCCATGGAGCCATGTTGAACCATGTAGTCCAGAAGGGACAAACCAAGCACTTGCTCTAGATAGGGCTTTTCGAGCGTTTTGTGGTCACGCTTCACGCTTAGAAGGGGAGGGTGAAGCAATCTGCAACTACAGTGCCACTAAATCCAACACACTCGTCCTCTAAAATGTGAAAAATAAATGTACATTTTGTATATATGCAGTGTTTTTGAGCAATTTACATCTTGCTTCCTGGTTATGTGGATACAGACTTCATCATAAGCAGGAGCCCTGTGCTCTCTCTTACCAGGTGAGGTAATCTAAGGCCTGCTGAGCTGCAGTTGGTCCTGATGTTTCAGTTTTCTCTAAGGTCTCTCCCTCAGCTTTAAGCCTCTTCTTTTCTTCCTTTTTCAGGATCTTCTTCATCTTCCTCTCCAGAACCCTTTTCTCCTCGGGGGTCAAGTCCTCCTCTCCCTCCAGCTCATGTGTCCCCTCTGGGTGACGGGGTGGATCTGAAATCTGTCACAACAAAGCAAAACAAGGACTCATGGGAGTTATCTACATTAACAGGCCTTCCTTTGTAGACCCTTATCATTTTCTTGTGTTTTTGTGAAACCATTATCAAACATCCCTAAATAACTCACACTGACTGTGATTGAACGATAAGAAAATGTTAGAACAATCATTTCACTTTGTGTACATTAAAGGCCATTTTCTTGAATACGTAAACATGACATTTTGTTGTTGTTCGGCGCATTAAAGACAAATGAAAGCTAAACGTGTCTTTTGGGTTGGAAAACTTCCTGTTGCGCTGCAGCTCAGAGGGACGTTTCCTGTATCTGCAGCCTTATGAGGTCAGCATCACACTCATTTATACTAGGTGGCAACTGTGGTGTGCAACATCCCTTCTGCATTGCATGCGAAACGCTCTCTAGACTATGCGTCTACTGCGCATAGTTGCCTTGTTCAAAAATAACCACCTGTTTAATCAGTTTTTTGCAGTGCAAGAAATATATAAAAAGAGGTGTTATGTGAGTGAAGTTTGAACTGATTTCAGTTGCAAAGTTTAACTACCACAGAGAAAAATAAATATTTTTTGTAACAAGGTGAAAACTAAAGAGAAAGAAAGAACCAAATTACAGCCGTATAACTGCTGTAGCCAGTAACCATAACACAACGTAAATACTGTGTTTAACTCTCAGGGGAAGTAAAACAAGGGACTCTGTATGTTCTCTGATTTAACAGACCTCTCTCTGCATGGTGATGAAAAAAAAAAGAGGGAGGGGAGGAAAAGATTTTGATCACATGGCCACGAAGTCATTTTGAAAGTATGCTGACGGGGTATTGAAATATAAAAAGTCCTTTACAGTGAGCATCGTTTTTAGAGCTTTGAGTCAATCAGCAGCGTCGGGCTGGTGGATACAAAACAGAAGACGAGCGGGTGACGAAAGCAAAAAATGGTAAGTGGAAACATGTGTTTTTACTGCGCAGGGAGTTCCTCAAAGGGGAACAGACAAAGAGTAGCCGACAGGGTTGTAGAGTAGATTTCAGAAAGAAAACAATTCTTATTAAAAGCTAGTCAGCACTGTTTATATTTTTAGAGATCTATAATGATCATTTGCAATAAGTTCAAATTTTAGCTCAACTTTAAGATACTATAGGCAGGAAATGTACTATATGTTGTAAAAGTATGTTCCTGTGGAAACCCCATTTAATGCAATAGTAACGCTGTCTAAAATGTATAAGAAATAGATGATACATTTGTTTAAATACTTAAACAAGGTTGCTCTAAAAATGTATTTCCACTTGTTTTTGTGCACTGAAAGAGCAGCTGATTTACAGACACCAGGCGATAAATACTTGCTACTAAACTAAATTATCTTTTCTTGAACCTGATAGTTCACTAGAGCTCTGTTCATTCCCTGATTGAAGGAAATGTTTGACAAACAGTGGAGAGTGATGTTGATTAGGACAGGATCTCATCAGCGGGGTTTTTTTCTTTTTGTTTCCAGTCTACTGAAAGCCTGAACTCGACCGAGAGTTCACCTCTATTTTCTGACAGTTCCACGATCATGAACACCACCACCACCACCACCATCACAGGCATCTCTAATTCAACATTCTTTATGACCGAAGATGAAATTGCAGCCAATGACCTAACCTCCAGAGCTAACTATGTCTACAGTTTCTTGGCTGTGTTGGGCTTCATCGCCAGCTTCTTCCTGCTCTACAGCTTCATCCACACCTACAGAGCCCAAAGAAGCCCAGCCTGGCTCGACTGCCTGCTCTGGGCCTTTTGTGGCTTCCAGCTGCTGCTCATGCTCCTCTCTCTCCACGCGGTGGCCTACAGACCTAAGTACCTCTGGACCACAGGTTTGGGCTGTGCTGCTCTCTCCTTCACGATCAACACAGCGTCTCTGTGCGGCCTGTTGGTCTTAGTGCTCATGGCTTATGTGCTGACTCTGGATCCACCATCCCACACCCTGCTGAGGAAGCCTGGGGTCTGTGGGACTCTGGTGATCCTGACTTCTGTTCTGATTTCTCTGCTGCTGGCTGGGCTTCGTGGACCCAGAGATGGTCTACAGAAAACGAGCGAGTGTTTTATGGATCTAGTCAGTGATGGTGCTTCGTATGCAGCTGCTAGGTTGTGTCTGGCTGTTTTGATTCCCTACGTCCTCCAAGCGGGACTTCTAATAGGTGGCTGCGTCCGGCAGTGGAAATCTAAAGGACGTTTCCTCTCTGGCTCCGAGGAGGGTCCTGTGTTCCTGACAGTCACCATGGTTGTGTTCTTCTGCCAGCTCTTCTACAGTGTGGCACTAGTGAGAGGAGCACAGCCAGAGAGGAAGGGGCATCGAGAGCGAGCATTCATCAGTGTGGCAGAGTTTGTACTGTTCTCGGGGAGCAGCGCCAGCCTGCTGCTGGTGCTGTTCATGCACAGGCCGTGTCGAGAGAGTCTCCACGGAGTGTTTAGGCAGCTGAGGGACTGCTGTCGAAGCCGAGGGCGCACGCAGCCCAACAGAAACATCATAGCTCCCCACATTGAGATCACAGACACCCTGCAGGACATAGAGTCATAAAGGACAAACGCTCTCTCATCTATGCGAACAGGACTCTATTGATTCATCAAATTAAAGACTTTTGACATCTGATGTATTAGACGTATTCTTATTAACTTTAATGCTTTTGCTATTTCTTTTTCACTTATGAGTGACAATGTTACTGTTTTTACATACATGCAATTCCCTTTTTAGTGTCTCTAGTGACTGAAAGTTTGCTTAACTATTTTTCATTTAATTTTTGGGTAAAAATTGCTCTACATTGTGCAACATGTTACTGTTACTATAATAACAATGTTATTATTAATAATAATGTTCATATAGTTTTTATAAATAAACCATGAACAAGACAATTTAAAAAAGGACTTCCTGACAGTAGAAAGTGCAATTTTATACATCTTGAACCTGCTCTTTGCCCGCCCCGCTTTTCTTGGAAAACTGATTTGCATTAACATGTTTTACACAAAAGCCTGTTTGGAAAAAATGCCTGAAAAAAACTCTGCCATTCCCAGAATGCCACACAGGAAACAAGTCAGATTCTAAGTTTAGGCCAACAGTGTCAATATTCTTATGTCATTATATTTAAAGCCGTTCAAGAACCAATACAAGCCAGACAAGTCAACTCATTTCAAGAAACTGATGGGCACCAGTTCCAGGAATAACCAACCTGCATGGATCACATATTGCATCGGTGCCAACAGAAAGTGGCACAAAACCAGGGACCAGCAGGAAAATGTATACAGGAGCCGGGTTGTCATGTGAAATGTGCAAAATCATAGTGGCAATGCTTTAAGTCACAGATATATGTCACAGAATAATTCAATGCAAAGCATTACAGAACATGCTAAATCATCTATAGTCTCAAACAGGTGCCTACAAACCAAAACCAAAAAGCGAAAGTGCAGCTAAATAAACAAGTAAGACTCCCCACCTGTCCTCTATCTTGTTTTGTGTAAATATACTGTTCACTCTGTCTTTGCTAAAAGGCCGCGGACTCCCATATTTATATATTTTAACATTCTACAATCAAAGCCAGCTTCGACAAGTTGACTCAGTGTCCCAGTTTGACAATAATTATACATGGAATAGATAATTTCATGTAAAAATATACAGATGATGATCAATATGACTACTAAGCATGTTGCTAATAAAGTGAAGCTATAATTAAAAAACATTGTTTTCTTGTTTGGCTTAAAGACCTGACGTGTGCGTGTGTGTGTATTGTGCGTTTGTGTTACTCGCTGTAATTGGTGGGAGGTACCACAACCCTTCTCTTCCCTGGATTTACTGTGACACCGGCTTTTAAAGTCACCACCATATAGACCGAGAGGACTAGAAGAACCTTCAATGCCGTGTAAGGAAACTAAGGTAAGCTTAAAATATTTTATATTTATTTATATAAATAGCAAATGTCAAAATTACTTTATTTCAAAGACAACTGACTTAATTGTCATTATATTTGTCAATTGTATCAACAGTTGTTCCACAGTAAGTGGAGCATAACACCTATAACAATTGTAAGTGTTTTGGGCTGTTGTATTCCATTATTAGATTATCAACAGTAGAGAGGTCAGGTAACAAGAGAGGGAGAGAGGGAGAGCGCAAAAACGGGACTAACATGCAACAAAGGTCCCTGCGCAGACTCGAACCAGGGAACTAGTAATCTAGTAGCCCTGCTAGTCTAAACCCCTAGATTATCAGGGTAACCCATTATAACAATGTTGTATCCTCAGAAGGTTACTTTAGGGCATTTTATAACATTATTTCTTAAACTTTAATAATTAAACTGCAGGCAGTTGGACTGATTTTGAGGACAAAGAGTTACAGCAGAGCTATAAGATTATAGTTAACTATATGCTTTTATCTTTTTAACATTAATATAGCAGCAAACAACTATTTGCTATGTAAAGATATAGTGAAGGCGTCCTGAGCAGAGAATCGTCACACTCCCTCTCCCTGTTTTGATGCTCGAACTTTGTTTACTTCACGCGTGCATATTAGTGATAGACCGATTCCAAACCGAATCAACCGGGTAATATATATCGGCCTTCGACAGCCTTGCTCTCTATAAATCAGCATCAGCCAGTGAAAAACCCCTATCAATCGACCACAACTGGCACTGCTGTTTTTCTCATCTACCTCTGTGAATTAAGAATTTATTTTGACCAAACCAGAGTTAGTGATTGTTGCTGGAACAGTGTAAAGACTATCAAAGATGGCTTTGCTAAGTTTTAGTTTGTTTTTGGTGCTGGTGTTGGTGCTCTAGTGCGACATCTAGTCGGAAAGTTGTACACAGCACGTTTAATCACAAATTATAAAGTTGTTTTTAAGTGACCATCAAATAATATACACTACATTGAAATCTATTGTCATTCATTGATAATATGCACAGAACACTTGGCTTCAGAAAGATTAATTCACGTTAAAGCTAAGTCCTAAGAAGCTGAAAACAAGCTGTTGACTTACCAAACTTCTACTTTCTGTCTAGAAAAAAGTGCGGGCATCAACTCCACTATACATCCAAGAAGACCACAGTGCATAAAAGAGGAAGGAGATGGCACCAGGGACTTCACAGAGGCTTAAAACCTACGAAAAACCTAGACCTATGGCAACTTAACACAAGGTCAAAGCAAAGGTTTAATCCGGACATGACCATGTATGTGGACTACAGAGGCATCATGGAGAATCACTTGACTGTTAAACAGCTAAATTACACACAAAAGGCAGTCGTCTCAGATTTTCTGCAGGCGGCTTCAGAGAGCCCTCACCATTATGTTATTAGCCTCTTCCTCTCCATCATCTACACTATATTTCTGTTTCCTATCGGCTTCATTGGGAACATCCTCATCTTAGTGGTCAACCTGGACCACAGGGGCCGCTTCACAGCCCCGGACCTCTACTTTGTGAACCTGGCCGTGGCCGACCTCGCCCTTGTTGCCGACTCTCTAATCGAGGTGTTCAACCTGAAGCAGGGCTACTACGACATGGCCGGCCTCTGCACCTTCATGAACCTTTTCCAGCAGCTCAACATGTACAGCAGCGTCTTCTTCTTAACCTGGATGAGCTTCGACCGGTTTGTCGCACTGACTGGCCTCATAGGTCGCAGCATGCCGCGCGCACGCCTCAGCTGCTGCCTTATCTGGATGTCCTCGTCTTTGTTCACCCTGCTCCCTTTTGCTATTGCTCAAAGGCAGCACGCCGGAGAGCTCCACTTCTGCTTCGCCAACGTGACCCAGATTCAGTGGCTGGAGGTGACGCTGGGTTTCTTGCTGCCTTTTTGCATCTTGGGTCTGTGCTACTGGAGAATAGCACGGGTGCTTCAGAATCACGGCCCACAGCAGAGGCCTCGCAGGCAGAAATCCCTGCGGATGATCTCAGCAGCTGTGTTAGTCTTCTTCCTCTGCTGGCTCCCGGAGAATGTGTTTATAAGTGTTCACCTTCTGAGAGGTGACACAGACGGCAGGAGCACACTGTGGCAGGACTACCCCTTGACAGGTCATGCTGTCAGACTGGCGGCCTTCTCAAACAGCTGCCTGAACCCGCTCATCTACAGTTTCCTCGGGGAGACCTTTCAAGAGAAACTGAGGCTTTTTCTCCTGGAGAAGAGCAGATGGGTCAAGCTGCACAGATCAGGCTCAGGAAGATCCATCTATGTACAAGCTGCAAGCACAAGCAGCCATGCAATATGCGACAGACCAGGCCAGTCCACACATTTAAGCTCCAACATCCTTCCACAAACTGTTATACTCCCTTCAAATAAATACCAACTGCATGCGGTAGGTCACACAGAAACTACAGAACAACATCGCTGTGCCATGAGTGTGAAGACAGTTATCATTAAAGGACAATGTAAAAGAAAGGACTCAAACTGTTGTGGAAAATCTTCACCTATTTAAAAGGTCCATGCATACCATTCCTTGGGAATTTTGGATAAAGTGTTTTTACAAATCAGATTATCAAATTAAATGTCAGCCTTTTTAGACATTTCTGATTGCACTTTCTGACATTTAAATTCAACTATTCAACTCAGCACAATAACTCACTTATTAGTGTGAATTACAGCATTTTTAAGGCATTAAAACACATTTAGCTGGTCTAAACTGTGATTATCAGTACCTTTGTGCACATTGTTTTTAGAACACAATTGGATGTACATGAGAGTTATTACCGGCACTAGTAAAGATCCTCTGTACAGAGTTCACCCGAGCATTCACAGAAACCAGCAACATAAAGCGATTTAACATTTCAAAGAAAACAAAAGGAAACGGTTAACACTCTTACCTCTGTTTGCTCTGTCGCTTGTTTCTTTTTGTGTTTCTTTTCCTTTTTTAGTTTTTTATCAGCTGGTGTGACTGTCACATGTGGAGCCTCCTGAATTAAATAAACATTTGGTTTTTAAAGGCATTTTCGTGTTGTGTCATCTAAAACAGGCACAGATGCAAGGGATTGTACAACTCACCTCCACTTCCATCTTTTTCCTTTTCTTTTGTTCTTTAGTGTTCATCATGTCTTCTGCGTGAACCTCGCTGGCATTTGAGCTCAACTTCTTCCTTTTAGGAGGATTTGTGTCTGGTTTCAAAGATTTGTCTTTAGCCATGAGATAATGAGATAATTTACTCCTACAAGCAAAAACATGTCACTAAAGAACTGCGTGCAGCATTATATGGACAGACAATAAACCTTAGAGACTGAGAAGGATAAGTGCTTTTCTTAATTTGCTGTATTAAACTTTTCATGACACTAACACAGAGAGAAACAGATGAACATATTGAACTAAAGTACAACTGAATATGAATACTCAACTGGACTACACGTACTACTGCATAAAATCTCTTTATTCCCAACTGTAACCTAGTATTGTTTTCACGCCCCCATGGAAATGATTAAATAAAGGAATATGGTTGATTTCACCGGACAAATGTAAACAGTTTTAACAGCCCGAAACACAAATGTTACGCTGGGTGCCATGGTTTCTACGGCCGCCACGTACACATGCTAAAACCACTCAAACTTAATCGTGGACCAAACATTTCCTTTGTCACATTGTTCTTATATACACACATACTTACTTTAACTACGATAAAGCGTGCAGGTCTCAGTGGAAAGCACAAACAAGCATGGGAACTCAACCAGGAAGTGATATCGCCTTAGTGAGTCGTGATTGGAGGGATTTCTCTTCTCGTTCTGTGATTGGTCGACGTGTGTGGCTGCTTCAAAGACCCTCGCATCATTAAAACACAAAGTGTAACACAGTGAATTTAATGCAGGATATTGTTGTCAAACTGTAAAGCAGCTGGCACTAAGGACGTTGTGGCTCAAAGTGTTGTTTTTTAACCTTATACCAAAATAATTTCACCTCAAGGTCCATTTAGTAGTAGGACATTTTATCGTCTACATTTACCATGGCAACAGTGCCAATTCTATCTACTACTAATAAAAAATAACATATAGGCTACTCTGGCAAACAAAATAAAAACACGTTTAATCCTCTATTATGTTAACAATAACAGTATAAAGTTATGTTTTATAAAATGTCACGATGACCTCAGACAACCCTCTACATCTTAGCGGAACGGTACCACACACCAGCGTTCAGCGGCGGAAGCAATTCAAGGTTGCACAACGATGTGTTACATGACCTAACCAAGGTGCGTTTGGTAAGAAAACCTTCAGTTTCATTGACCTAACGTCGTGCGTCCTAAGATGACCAATTGTCTAAGATGTCTACAACAGCAGGACGAGTTTTCGCCGGTGTGAGACGTCGGGGAGTTTTTATTCACAGCGCAGCTTCGACCGTGAGGTGAGTAATCTGAAGCTGTGGTAAGATAACCATGTTGGCTCTGTAGTGACTCAATGACTCAATGGAATAAATGTCACCCCCAATGCTGAAGCTTACGGATTATGTCAGCCAATATGAGATATGAGCTGTTTTCATTAAGTGTTTGTATCTTTATGTACTCTCAGTAGCTGTAGTCTGATAGAGAAATGCTTCCTATAGTATTGAGAGAGAGGGAGTCACAGGTTTGGATAGATGTTAACCAAAATCAAGGTGGAATTCATTGCAGCGGGGCCTGTTCATGTAATCAGATTACACCCTTTGAGTTGGGCTACTGACAGTGACAATCTATGTATTTGAAGTATAATTATATTATGTGTATTAGCTGCTTGTGGTGCTTAAGTTATGACTTAGATCATGTAAACGAATGGGCAGGTGGTCCCAGTGTCCCATAGGATTTCTTTTATAATTCACTGTCAGTGGAGAAGCTGCAGGATTAGGCTCGTTTGAGATGAGCTGCGCCACATCCGTGTGCTTTCTGCATCCTGCTACACTCCAGGGGACCAATCAAAATTGATGTGAACAATATGGTACAAACAGTTAGAGACCGAAATATCAATATGAGAATATGAGAACAAATATATAAAAGCAATCTGTTGTTATTTATATAAACACATAAGAGATATTTTTGATCCTTTGAGTTTAAAAAGTGTAGACACTGTTTCTAATTTCCCTCACATGTATCAGTGCCTTTCCTGTGCTGCACTTTGTAGTTGCATATTGGCTGACAGATACCAATATATCAATATATTGGTCCATATATAGGCCCAGACCATTTGTCAGTACACCTCTAGAAAAGATTTCTGTTTTAAGGTTGATCCTGTAAATTTGAGTCCCATTATTATCCCATCATGAAGTACAGCAAGTCCAGATGTGGGAGAAGTATTCAGCTGCTTTACTTCATTAAAAGTTACGTCTATTACAAGTAAAGGTTGTACATCTAAAATCTTACTTCTCTGACAGTACAGCCGTATTAACAGCACCATTTATTTAAAGTTTCATACATGTCACTGTTAATGTACTACAGATATATTATTGGATATTACACTGTATTCGTAGCATCTTGCTGTGGCAGTAGGTCACTTTAACTACTTTATATGTACACAATAACAATGTATAATTTTACTAAGCTTAAGTCAAGTATCCAAAATACAAATACTGAAGTACAAGTGCCTCATAATTGAGTATATATTATATTATATTATATTATAGCACTTGACTAAATGTTTCTTTGTCAGCAGACTGAATGGTGTGCGGTTCCTAGCTGTGAGCTTGCAGAGGACAGCAAAGTCCACAGATGACGATCAAGAGGTGAAGAATGAGCCCATCAAGTTCTCCACCAGTAAAGCCAGTTACAGAACCTGGAAAGTCGACCGCTCCCTGGGGAGCAAATATAAGCGTCCTTGGTGGAGGGTCCTCCCGATAAGCCTCCTCACCATCAGCTTCCTTCTGTGGTGTGCACTGAGAGAAGAGACGGACATTGATGCACAGCTGGATAAGAAGCTGTATGAGCAGCTACCCAGCTTGCTTTCAGATGAAGAGGAGGAGCAAGATAAATCAAGTTAACCAATGTTGGACCTGGGATGTATATATTTATTGTGAAATGTCTAGTTCTGACGCCAACTCAGTGCTCCAACAACCCTGGAGGTGGAGTAGTGAAGCCGTCCAGTACTATGGTAGCTTTTTTTTCAGCAATTAGAAATTGTTTGACCATACATTGCCTTTTGTCAAGTTTTAGTTGAGCTGTTTAACATGGATTAAAATGCCTTGATTTGAGACACTGAACTTTGTTAGTCTGCATTTCTATTGATGTACATCAACTAGCTCACTCTTCTGTACCACCTGACAGGCTCTAGTGTTTGGTGCTTCACTGGTGATATCACTGGTCTGTCACATTGATCTTTACGGTCTTAAGTGTCCAAACTTCATGAAAACAGTGGTTACAATCTCATGTATCCAAAAGCATGCTTATGCAGACGTCCAACCTCCCAAAAAAATATAAAATAACTGGGGCCAAAAGAAATTGAGGTAGCGGAAAGTTTATTTACAGCACAACAAGAAATCCTATGACATGCACACACAGGATTAAAAGGTACAGATTCTAAAATAGATTTGCAAACCTGAGAAAGGCAGTGGAATATTTTGATTCAGAATTTACATATATCAAGCTCTAGTCTACAGTGAATAGGACAGTTGAGAGAGAGAAATGACAAATGAAGTACAAAAAAAAAAAAAAATGCCAGAAACTACAAATGACAAATTAGGTGGCACACATGCTGGTAATAGTTCAAGATTTACAAAACAAACCCCCGTCATTCCCACCCGCCCCTCCCTGACTAAAAAGATAAAATTCATTCATTTAGGCACGCTCTCCTCTAATTCGCCTGGCCAGCTGAATGTCCTTGGGCATGATGGTGACCCTCTTTGCGTGAATGGCGCACAGGTTGGTGTCCTCAAACAGTCCAACCAAGTATGCCTCACTGGCTTCCTACAAGGAGAGAACGACGACATCAGTTATAATTACAGACTTATCAATTGGGATGATATAACCGTCACACACACTGCGAGATAAATACCTGCAGAGCGCCAATAGCTGCACTCTGGAAACGCAGATCTGTCTTGAAATCCTGGGCGATCTCCCTGACGAGACGCTGGAAAGGCAGCTTCCTGATGAGCAGCTCAGTGGACTTCTGGTACCGACGGATCTCACGCAGAGCAACGGTTCCAGGCCTGTAACAAACATATGCTTCTGTTAAAACCCCCGAATCGTTTCTCACTGTTCACTGTAGCTTTTTAATTATGGAAAAATACAAAAACTACACCGCAAGAAACCTACAGAGATACAGTAAACTTAGATTCCTTTTAAAAAGAGTGAAACCCAATAGCACCAGTACAAACATTATGACTGAACATGTGTACCTGTATCTGTGGGGCTTCTTCACGCCGCCAGTGGAGGGCGCGCTTTTCCTGGCAGCTTTGGTGGCCAGCTGCTTCCTGGGGGCTTTTCCTCCGGTGGATTTACGAGCGGTCTGCTTGGTACGAGCCATATTTCACCTGCGGGTCTGAACAAAAATAAAAAATAAACACAAAAAGATGAGGCAAACTCCACGTTAAATGTCATAAAGCATTGTTCTCGGTATTATAATCGCCGCTGCTTCGAAGTGTTGCGTTAAGAGGAAGCGGAGCAGCAGTGACAGATATACAACCCACATCCTTATTAAAAACAATATAAACACTTCTCGTAAATTCTCACTTGAAACGCGAAAGTAAAGTAGAAAACATTAGCTTCAACTCGCCGGTCAGTGAGACGCGACTGAACATGCAGATTAGGTGCCAGGTCTGTCGGCACAGCGGCGGTTTTACTGTGATAAACAAGCACATACAAAGCCTCGCCACCATTAAGCTTCAGGACACACACACGTTTCTTTGCTGTCGTTAGCGAGCGAATTTAAAGCTAGCCACGGACGGTTGCAAAATGGCGCCAGCTAGCCACCACAAAAGGTTTACGTCAACGTTCAGACAACCGCTGACACCCAACTCAACCGCTTTCACGTAAAAAACAAAAATCGTACAAGTTGAGTGAACCTTAAGTGGGAGTTGAAGTAGACTATCGCGGGTTTGTTGGTGAGTTAAGTTCGTACAGAGCAGCTAGTAGTTAGCCAACTGGCTATAGCGCGCGCTGTTTTGTTGTCAGTTGGCTGACGATTAAACGGTCGTCCAACCGTATTTTAACGGCTCTCACCGAGCTGGAAATGAAAGTACACCGAACACTTCATGACTATTACTAACGAAAGTACAAACACCGACAATAACAATAACCGCTCTCACCACGTTACCGTTTGTGTTTATTTTCCGGGAACTCGTCGTCTCCGTCTGAGGTTTCGGTTAACTCTACCGGGGAGGGAGCAGGAGGAGCTATTTATAGTCTGAGAGGAGCGGAGCTCGAAGTCCCGCCCCCGGGCTCACCTGATTGGTCCAGACTCAACTCCCCGACGGAATGTGATTAGTGGAGGAAAAAATGAGGATCGCTGCCTCTGAATTTGAAAGAAATGGGACATTAGCGTCTTCTTCTTCTTTTTCTTCTGAGGAATCGATATATGTTTGCACTCATTCATGAACCTGAAACTGCTTCTTCTTAGTCCGTACCGTGTTTTTGGTTCTACATCCTCAAGATTTATAAATAATCCTTTAAATTATGGTGCTCATCGATCTCTTTCTTTTCATTAATGGAACAAAAGGGAACAACGCTGCCCTATTGGACATTGGATATGTTATGCTATGTGTAGAAATAAGTATCTTCACCTTGAATAATAGATAGGGAAAAAAAATTACTTGGTCACAGTGTATTAACACGGTAATATTCAGTTTGGGATGCAGTTGCACTTATACACCAGGACGACTCCTCCTGTTTCCTTACTCTGTTTAGTCTGCTTGGCCTTTTCTCCTCTTCCAGGTTGTGGAAGTCACCAGCAAGAGGAGGTTCTCCTGGGATGGACCCTTTTAAGCTGGCCTGCACACACAGTCCCTCTTTCTCTCCGCTCCTGCATGGTCCCCTTCATTTCTTAGCATACAACATACTTCACTCATCCATGCACACTCCTACATCTCTGATATCCTCATGTGTGTGTTCTTCTCCCTCCTTTGTCTGAACCCTGATCCAGTTACACACAAGCCAGCTGTTTTGAGAGTCAATAAAATGATAGTTCACTATAATGAAAAGATACCAAAGTCCATGCATAAACCAAACACTGCTGTTACTTTAAAAGAACCATATAAAACCTGTTTACAAAGCATTGCACACCTAACGCAGCATGTGCATCTCTGTTCTTCCACAAGTGGTTGAGAAAACCCCAGATCACGGTTTCAGCCTCTTTTCTGACAGAACCTGGATGGATCATTATGTTATTATAAGGCACTGATTGTGTTTCTATGGCTTCTGTGCCTACGTTAAAAGAGGAGAGTTCAGCTGGAAACTGACACAGAGCCGGCCAACAACAGCCTGGTGACAAAATCACCCTTTCCTGTTACTCTCAGGTCAGCTTCATCAGCATACAGTGATTACTTATTTGTTTATTTTTAGCTTTTTCTTCCTGGGGTCCGCATTACAGCTTTTATTTATAGTGTTTACTTTTGTCCTCTTTACATTCGTGACACCTGTTCTTATTTTTTACAGTTTCTTATACGTTTTTTTTCTATTTTTGCCTAAATGTATCAAGTACTTTGATTTTTATTGTTTGTTTTTTAGGTTGTAAAAGTTATTTATTATTATCTAGAGCTGTAAATTACAGCTTACTTTAGAATCAGAGTAGTTTTATTGGCCAATACACATACAAGGAATTTGACTTGACAAGGAATAGACACAACACCTAAGAACAAGGACACCAAAGCTGAACAAATAAAGGTAATAAAGTAATAGTCAGGACTATTATGTACACAATTATGTGAACAAATATTTATATTATATATTTTATTAAAAGCACCAGTGACCAAAAACACAAATACATGTCTTCTGTAGGCTGTAAAAAACATTGCAAGTTAATCTGTAGTGACTTTTATACCTTTATACCAATTTCCTGCTCTTATATCTTAACAATGACGAGCATAAAATCAGTGAGTAAAGTTTATTATGTAATGTGCAGTATATGTGTGTCAATCCACTTAACCACAGTTCAACCAACTGGGTCACGAGAACACCACCAAGCGGAACTACACGCGTTGGGGAAACTACACCGGCCGGACACATTCTCATGTGACACCGGTGGTAAGTTTCCGAACACAACACGATTTCACGTAAAGCAACAACATAGCAGTGTCTTTCTGTAAGTGTTGGCTCCTACTGCTGCCTGTTCCTCTGACTGAGTCCAGTTTAATGGTTCAATCTACTTTCCGGCTTCCAGCTGAAAACCTGCAGCAGTGCCAGACTCAGCATGAGCGAGCAGAGGCTGCTGTTTATAGGTACTTTGTGATTGCATTACATGACGCAGCATAAGATACACGTTTCCTCCCATCCTTGCTGCAGGTCGATTCTAGGCTCCATTTGGGGACAAAACGTGGAAATCAAGAGTAGTGGGTTTAAAATGTGTTCAGTAGTGCTAGATTATTTGTCTGTATCTGTTTACAATGAAAGATAGAATAAGCTTTGAGGTAATTAATGCAATATTCCATATATTGTGTGTGTGTGTGTTCATTCGACAGATATTGAACCTAAAACAAACAGCTCCGCTCCTGCGGACGGCAGAGCTGACAAGCCCCTCTGGACTCGCACTGATAACGCCTTCAGATTTAACTTCCTCCCCGACAACTCTGCAGCTCCTCAGGAGGAGACATCTCTATCAGACAGGACCGAACCTGCAACGAGCCAGATATCCTTTACAGGACGGGGCTCTGCTTTCGCCTTTAACTTTCAGATTACTGCTGATACAGCTGTAGAAAACATGGAGACGACAGAGAGCGCAGACACCTCTTCTGCACTCAGCCAACAAGGCGTCCAGAAGGAAAATCCTTCCACGCTGCAGGAGGTTAACCCTCCGCCTGAACCGTCAGTGCAATCAAAAGCCAAGAAGAAGAAGAAATCTGGAAAGAAAAAACCCTCGGATAGCGCCGAGCCACAGCAGAAAGCGAGTTCAGCTGAGGGCAGTGAAGGAGGAGAGGACACCGAGCTGGTCAGCGTTGAATGTTTTCCCTTAAAGTAATCATGGGTAGGTTCCAGTTCATTGGCTGACCTGATGTCCGAATGTGTTTCAGAGTGCAGAAGAGCAGCTGAACAGACAGCTGGACTGGTGTATCGAGCAGCTGGAATCGGGAATGAGGTCCCAGAAGGGTACACCGAAACAGAGTATGATGTTTACCTTACAAATTATGTGACCTGGTTACACTAGTTTGTTTGATTTGATTCTTTGCTGATGTGTTCAAGGGTTATATGAGTACAGACTGGATTTGATATGGATAACATTACTCAGACTACGTCCTGAAAATTTTATATTTTCTCCCCACAGAGGAGGAAGCCTCTCGTGCCTTGAAGACTCTGCGAAGCTCCAAAGCTCCTCTGGCCAAGAAGAGGCAGGTGATGAGAGCCATGACCGGAGATTACAGGAAAAAAATGGAGGAAGAGAAGACCAAGCAGTATAAACTCATTCAGAGTGGTGAGTGGATTGTAGCAGTACAGTGATTTGATGAGTAAAAGTTGCTCACGTGTAAAAAAGGTCCATCTTTTGAAAGAACTTTTAGGTGTGGTTAAGTGACAGATTTCTCCAATCCCAACAGAAATTGCATCAGCTCAGGTTAAAGTTGTGCCTGATGCTCCAAAGAAGTGTGTTTTCCACCGAAGAGCTGAAGTCAAACCCCAGACAGCCGCCACGGGGGAGAACCTGCAACAACCAGAAGCCCAGGATAAAGATCAGACATCACAGACTCAAGAGGAGACGTCAGCTTTTGTCTTCACGCCATCAAAAGAGGACTTTCGCTTCAATTTTCTCTGATTTGTACCCTGAAGACACGTTTCACCGTACATTATGTTGGACTGTGCCTGGACAGTGTGGGCCGAGCTGTGCACTGGACGCACTTTGTGTTGCAAACAATAAAAAGTGCATGAAACAAGGGGCTAAATTGGAGATGATGGGAGGAAAAACAACACTTATAACAGTGAAAGTATTCAAAATATTCAGACATCTGGACTGCTTGTACCATATTTCTAAATAAAGCTTTTTGTATTTTTGTTGGCATTGTATTTTTAAAATGTGGATCTGTAAAATTATAAAAAGCTAGTTATAAGTAAAGCATTACTTGTGATAGTTTTACCAAAGGCTTGTGACATACTCATATAGTAAAGTTGTTTTTTGGGGAGGTTCAAAGAGCGTTTAAAAGGTTGCTCAGTAATTATTTATTTATGACCTGCTGTATTTATTATGCTTGAACACCTGACAACCCTCTAAAGGTGTAGTTAGTAAGTGACAATCTGAATACTAAAATATCTATTGATAATTGCCTTCACAGTACATTTTCTCGTTGAGGAAATAACACTACATCTAGCAGTGACAGTTCTTTACAGGAGCTGTGAGCAGTTAAAAGTGGGATTTTTCGTTCTCAGATTGTTTCATTTGAAGGGTTTTAGAGACACAAGGAGGTGAAAGAATACAGTATTTCAAGTATCCATGTTTTAAAAAAAAATCAAATCTCAAATCTGAAAATAAAATTAAACTGACCCCTTTGATTTTTGGGGATCTCTTCAGCAGTGCCTTAAAACAATCAGATTTTTTGGCTCGTACTACCTCAAATATCTTAAACACAGGACAATGCACTAAGTTTAAGATAACACTGTCCACACATTATTATATATAGTAGTATAATAGTGTATGTGCTGTTGAAAAGGTCGAGCAGAAGCATTCAAACAGGAAAGGGCGGGGCATGGTTCAACACGAGCCCAATTGAGTGTGACACAGAAGACAAAAAACTTTTCAAACGCTGAGAAAACAAACTAACGCTACTTGTTGACTGTAAGTTTTTGACTCTTGACATTCGGCTACATTGTGAAATATTAGTTCAGGTTGTCGTTTGAAGAGTTTTATATTGTTCATAGTGTTTCTGGGAGCTCTGTTGGGGGTTAAAACTTCACACTGGGCTGACGTTAACTCGCCAAGCTAACGTGGAGCTAGCAAACCGAGCCATTTGGGAGTTAAAGCCAGTAAAGATGTAAGTCAGCTGAAGCCATAAAGCAATTACAAGTCTGCAGCTAGTAATATTCGGCATTATTATATGTTTATCACAGGCTAACCCCCAACTTTGAACGCCTCTCGCTGTCTGATACTTAGATAACATGCCTCTAAAGTGTGAATCCAGGGCTTAAGCGTTGAACATTTAGTCTTTAACTCTGGCGGTAAGTCTGTGGGCTCCCTGTGCTTTCAGGTGTGTGGAGGGGCGAGTGAAGAGGTAGAACATGTCTGAGCTGAGTGACGAAGCCAGTGAGTCAGAGCAACTGGGTGCCAGCCTCTCTCTGTGGCTGGGTGACTCTCTGGTGCGACCTGAGGAGCTGGATGTCCCCCTGGACCTCCACACCGCCTGCTCCATCGGACAGTACGACGTGGTGGCAGAGTGCATCAAAAAGTGGGTGACTACATAATAATATCAATAATATCTGTTGTTCTGTTCTGTTCAGCCTTTGTGGCACACTTCACTGTGTGTATTGATCACTGTGATCTTGTGTCTTTTCAGACGTGAGGTGGACCTGGATGGCAAGAACATTGGAGGATGGACCCCACTGATGTATGCATCTTACATCGGCCATGATAACATTGCAAACCTCCTGCTGGAAGCCGGTGTGAATGTAAATGCTGCCACCGCCAAAGGATTGACCCCGCTGATGCTGGCAGCAAGCTGTGGGAATGAAAGTATTGCTTACTTTCTGCTTCAGGTACAAAACGGCTCTGTCAGGCTGTTACTGTTCACGCCATGTTGTGTTGAGTGGTCTAATGTGTTCAGATAAGCTTTATTTTTTCTAATGCCAAAAGAATGATTGCATTGTCTGTTACAGAAAACTATTACATACTAAGTATGTAAAGTGTCGTAGGAAAATTTAAAACGTGAGCCAACACCAATGTCATTGTACCAACAAGGAAGGTTTCAGCAGTTTTTGCATACAAGTTTCAATTGTGTAAGTGGATTTTCCTACTGTGAAATGAATGAAAAACAAATGCTTCCTGGAGGGTGTGATTTGTAGTCAATGGGCTGAAACCACCAGTATGGTCCTTTCTACACAGAGGTTGATTAATACTGCTAAAAAAACCTAACTGCGAGATAATATTCTTTATGTCTGTAGGAGCACTTTAAGATCTGGCTACAATTGTAACCCAGCATTAGATCACATTATTAGTGGGCGTTGTATTTAAAACCTTCTTGATCCTTGTTGTGAGGCTTTTAAGGCAGAAAAAAAATAAAACAAATCTGGATCAAACAAACTCTAAAGCGGAAGTTCCAGGATCAGCTGGGTTTAAGAGAAGGTCTTTTTAAAAATGGAAGAAAACAGTTTTTTACAGTCTTGATTTTTGCTTTTCTTACCTCAAAAGCAAGGTGCTGAGTTGGAGCTGAAGGACTCTCGAGGTTGGACTGCTCTGTTCCACTGCACGAGCACAGGCCACCAGCAGATGGTCAAGTTCCTGCTGGACAACAACGCTGATGCCAATATCAAGTGGGTGCCTTCATTCATCCCAACAACTACCGCAACACTCCAATCAGAGGTGTTCATTACTTTTTCTTTCATCCACAGGGAACCAGGGTCTGGCTTCACTCCCCTGATGGAGGCTGCTGCTTCTGGTCATGAAATCATTGTTCAGAACCTGCTTGATCATGTGAGTAGGTTACCCCCACAAATACGATGTTACTACTCAACGACAGATCTACAGCACCAGAGAATTTGCACACCACTGAGGATGGGTGACGATACACAGAAGAGGGTCACACAGGGGTGATGCCTTATGGCCCTGACACCTGTTTTGTTTTTCTCATTTACAGAAAGTTAAAATGGATGATCGCAACGCTAAAGGAGAGACTGCCCGTGCCCTCGCCATGATGTACGGCTACACCAAGATCATCAGCCTCATTGACTCACGCTCTCCAAGGATCAAACCAGGTACTAACTTCTTATTGTTCATTTTTACAAAACAGGTCTTTACCCTTACTTTTTCTTGTGTTTTCTGATTAAATGTGTATTTGGTGTGTGTGTTCCAACTTGTCAGGACATTTTGAAGACCTGAGCTCCTCTGAAGACTCGGACAGCGCTCCCCCGAGGATAAGGCCGAGTCGAAACCGAGCTAAAGGCATTAGCATCCATGATGGGCCCCAGGCCATCGCCAAGTTCCGAGTAGGAGGCACCAGCAAACTGTGTGGTAGTGTCACATAAGAAATCCAGTCTGCCAACCTGTGTTCATACTGGTCACATGTTAAGAGTGTCGATTCTAGTTATCAAGTCTAATAAGTTTTTCCTTGAGTGGTGAAAGACTGCAACAGATTTCACAGAAATTATTACGAAATGTGACAAAAACGAGGAGACATTTGAATTAAGCAAATAGCTTTATTCTGTAAAAAAAAAAAAAACATTAAATCACTGGCATGCTGCCATTTGTAGTTGTGTGTAGGACAGTTGTTTGTTAATACTGCTTTTTCTCCTCACAGAGCCGCCTGCAGCTCCGCCAGGCTACATGACGTTTCGTGATATTGGTGAACAGAGTGAGGGCATCTGCTACCGTGATGTGACCTCACCCATCAATGAGCTGGACGGCCAGAGCAACAGCAGCAGAGGTGAGAGGCTCATGATTACCAGAGTCTTGCGACAAACAAAACTCAGTTCTCACAGTTACACGTGTGTTTGGTAGAAATGCACCAAAAGAAAAACTGCACTTAGTATAATCACTGCTAAGTAATATCCTTTGTCACCTGCCGAAACATTTTATATGCTACCGCCACAGATGACAGTCCATTCTTTGACAATGACATGCCCACCATGAGGAGCAGCAGCAGCAGCAGCGAAGGCCTTCCTCATGTGATTGGCCTCAACTGGGAAGGCTCCGTGGAGAGTAACGAGGTGAACACAGAAATCCCACTGATTTAGAGTCAACCAGATTTGATTTTAATGATTTAGTTTGACTGCAGTGACAGTGTAACTCTCTCCACCAGGACTCTGACCAGTGCAAAAAGAACGTCTCTCGCAGAGTCAACAAGGGCCATCACTCAAAAGGCAAGGGTCGCCATGGAAGCAACGATGCAGCTCACTCCAGTGGTACAGTGAACTGTGGGATGCGGGCACATGTTGGTCTTCCACCCTCCTACACTGGCCCGAAGGCATGTCTATGTTGGCTCACTTTATAATGTGTCAGTGATATGTCCTGTAATGGTGTGTTTGGTTCATGGCAACTTTATTCTGGACTGTCTTGGGTTCCTGATCAGCCATAAAATCGTATATTCATTTAGGATCTGGCAGAGTTCTTGGAACAAATTGGCTTCTCTAAGTATCTCCCCTTACTTGAGGAACAAGACATTGACCTGCGGATATTTCTCACCCTGACTGAAAATGATCTCAAAGAAATCGGGATCACGTAAGAGACTCCCTCTTTAACATTTGCTTTAGTGCATACCGTGTTAGTTTTCTCATGGTATTAAATGCTGAATCCCTTCTTGCTCTTCAGATTATTCGGACCTAAGCGTAAGATGACCTCAGCTATTGCAAGGTGGCACAGCAGTGCTCGACCTCCCAGCGATGCTCTGGAACAGTCTTACGCTGACCAGCTTGAGGCTGAGATGCAGGAGATGGCCATTCAGCTACACAAGGTAACTGCTGAGGAAAAATTCACTGCCATACAAATATTTCACATTTCTTAGTTTTACCCACGACTAACTAACTCCCTATGTAGCGCTGTGAGGAGGTGGAGAGCCTGCAGAGCCAGGTGTCACAGGAGAAGGAGCTGCGTACCGTGATGGAGGGATGTCTGATGGAGGACAAGATGGCATGGAGGAGGGTGCATGCTGAGCTCGTGGAGAACCACCGACTGGCTCAGGACATGAGTGTCTTAATGACGGAGTCAAGGGCTCGCTGTGCTGAACTGCTCTCCTGTTTTTCTACTGATGGGAACAGCAGCTCTTATACAGCCGAAGAAGATAAAACAAAAGCTGACACTGGTGTCAAAGGTGAGTTTTCCTGTGCTGGATAACAAATTATTTTGTGATTTTAAAAAAAATTATTTAATGATTTTACTTCTCCCTGTAGCTGGGGACGGCCTGACACGCTCCAGTGTTGTAGAGCTAATAAAGAAGCTGGATTCCCATGAAGAAGAACTGGGTAAGATGGTGTAATGCTCATTGATTAAAGTGGTTTTGTGTTGTCAGTGGAGTTTAATGCTGGTGTCTGGTTGTTTCATCAACACAGCGGAGAACCTGCAAACTGTGCTTCAGAGTCTGAGGCGACTGAGTGCCTCTGAAAAAGTCTCAGATAGCTGGGAGCGACCTTAACCTTTTACAGGTGTGAACTTAAAAAAAACTCACACTGGATGGACACAAGTGCTGCTCTGTGGTTGGTAAAACAGGAGAAAATAACCTTTGTTCCTTGTCTTTAAAGAGGCTCTTGCAAATATTTGACGGAGGGTGAACTAACCACCCTGAACAATCTCACTGAAATGGGAGAAGGCCAAAGACGAGGCCGGCCCTGCCGGACTGGAACAGCTCAGGCAGCGAAGCAGCTGACCTGCGGCTCCTCTGGGATTGGCTGATGGCCCAGAGCTCACCAGATGTGGACAAGGCCAAGGGCAACGGAAGCTACTGCAGGGAAATGACAAACAGGCAGGAAGGGTACCTGGCCCTCACACGCTTGTGCTGGTGTGAAGTGGACTCCTGTAGTTGGGTTGTGAAAAATGCACCTAAAGGAGGAGGGACTGATGGTGGATCGGAAGCTATAATACTGTGAAATGTTTCTTAAAAACTGTACTCTCTTCCTGTATGAACTGGGGCTTTAACTATGTTCAAGCCGCCAGCAGAAGAGGTACAATTCTTAAAAGTAGTTGTAGTTAAAAGAAGTGTTGATTTATTTGAATGAACTCTTATTTGTATGCTGTTAGGTGTTTGAAAATAATGTCCTGCTGAATGCATTTTTAAGAGCTTATGAAGGAAATGTGTGAAACCTGTCAGTTAATCATTTACAATAATATGTTACACCAGGGAGCGTCTTTTCAATCCATTGTACTGTAATGTTGTGGACATTTATATATGTAAATGCAGAGATATGAATAATATTTCAGAATTACATTTTTAGCTTTTTCAAAGCAAAAAATAAAATACCCAACAGTCCAATTTGATTTCACTCAGTGGTGCACTGAACTGGTGATCATTCAGTGGATTCTCTGCGCAGCTTCTTAAACGCAATCTGTTTTACCCTAAAATCTTGCCAAATCCTTGAAATGCAAGATTATGTGGACATTAATTAAAAGTCTTCCTTAAAGTTGAGGGTGTTTCCTAAATACTGTATCATTTCTTTCTTTTCAACGCAACAGATCTTGTTACAGTTTAAATGTATTTCATGGTGTAATCAGATGTAAAAGCACATTCTAGTGAGACAGGACAACTTTGCTTTATATTTTTTTTATCTACAAATATAATTGTGACAAAAACACTAATTTCATAACAGCTCAAAGTGAATATCTGCAAATTTATTGCAAGTCCCACAGTTCATTATTCATGTTAGTAGAGAGGTGAAAGGCTGAGTGGTTATGTGCACACATGTTGGCAAAATGATCCAAACAGTAAACATAAATACCCACTAGCAGCATCGTACTTTTAGATCAGTTGTATAAAATAGTTCAATGGTCAAGTAGCAGTAAAACGTAGTATACAACACAAGTAACAGTGTGGAAAAAATATATTTCTGTATGTCTTAGTCCGTCTGCAAATCTAAGAGGTGATCTGGAACTATTTTTATTTAGATTTATTCAGAAAATCTATTCATTTATTCTTTGTGCCAATTTGTGGTGCTGAGATGGATTCAGATTGCATAAAATAGAAATTAAAAAATCTTGCGTAAAGGTTGGGCTACAGTGTAGACCCGTGTTTTACTAATATGTTACACCTCAATTGTGTTTAACATTTGTCAGTGGCTTCTTTATTACAGCTTATAAAATCTCTTAATTGGATTGATGGTGCTCTGCGTTAGTGTGTGGAATATTATAACATTTCCCAATTATTTTAGAGTCTCTAATCAACGCTGGATATTGCTCGTCTTCACTCCTGGACTTAATGTGTGGTCCTCAGACACTCCAGGGGCCTGTCCAGATGTTTGAACTGATTGGATGGCATATTAATCTGACTGATGTGGTCAGTTTTTAAATTTCTAACCCTACAGGGCAGTTCTCGGGGTCAGGGATTCCCCATCCTGATTGTTGGGGTGTCCTCATACGAGTACATCCAAAAATCCTCTTATTGTGCCTGGCCTTGGCGGTAAATCAATGTGATGACAGTTGCTGCTCGGTATATGGATGTTGGCTGGAGTTTAGCTTTTATCAGCGGATCCACATACAGCAGCCTCAGGCCTGCAGGTTTTTGAATGGGCACAGACGCTCTCAGGACCTCGTGATTGACAGGACAATTGTAGATTTGTTAGTGGGAATGAAAACCACTAGGAGATGACGATTACTGCACCAGTGATATATTTAGCTATCACAAGTGAAGGTGCTCTTTTCTGTCTGATGCTGTTTACTAACAACCTCTGCTACTGTTCAAAATGTTTTAGTCTGTAAATTCAAAATTAGGTGAAAGAAAAGGTCATTTATGTTTTGAAATAAAATGTCACATGGCTTCACTGATGTTTTTAATTCGTATGCATTCTGAAAGCTTTCCTGTTTTGTGTGCCAGTATATAGGATGCTAATGTGTCACTAGCCAATTTCACTAAACGAGGCAGACAGGAGTGGAAGACAAACATTTCAGACACTTCTGGCATCCAGAATGTAAATGTACCCAAACAAACACAATCAGTTTCTCTTTCTCAGAGTTGAGCCTGAACTGATAAAATATTCTCCATCTTGCTGCAATAATTGACTCATATCATGAAGGTCTGCCAGTAACACTGACAACTAGGCAGCAGCATCCTCCAATCAGTTGCCATCAGGCTACACAGTACTGGGATGTAACAGGATAGTAACAGTCGAATTTCACCCAAGACAAAGCTGTTCTGTTGACGGTTATCTCGGTTGGCTTCTACACTCACCTGTTCTGTGTATCTCACCAGTGGTGAGCTATACAAACTATCATTAACAAATAAGTGTTACTCTGAGCAGCACACATTGTGTCTACCTGGTAGACTAGAGGCTAGAGAAGTTGGCGGGTTGCCAGTTGGGATTTCTGGGCCCATGAGAGTATAGTGCAGTTGGAGAAAAATGAATAAGTAGTGTTCTTTCCTCTGACTAAAGTGCCCTCGAGCAAGACTTTTTATCCTAACTGCTCCACTGGAACTGCTCAGCAGAGAAGAGTAAAAGGCTGGATGTGTTGGACAGCTGCCAGGTATGAATGTGTGCAGCTGAATGAATATATGAAGCTCAGTGCAAGCTCAGATGAATTCAGTCTACACTGACTGTTACTCATCAGGAAAACTATGTATGTAATGGAAGATAAACCACTTTCTTTTAAATGTCGCTGACAAAACAGACTTCACTGGTCCAGTTTCAAGTTGCTTGAATAGAGAGCTATTTGTCATAAATTAATTGAACTTTATCTACAGTCCTTCAAAAAAAGGTTGAGTTATTATGTACAAACAATCCACTTAAGATGAGCAGACAATTGTTCCTGTACAGCCTTCACGATTTTACTGAGGGGTTTTAAAAACATTGTAAAATGCAGCAAGTGTGAATTCACAAAAAATATTGTTATACTCTTTGAATATCTATCGTAACATCTGCTTATATACAAATTCACCTGTTCATACAACTATGAATCTACACATGATTGTGTTTGCTCTTGAATGGCTGTCCAGGAGAGCACATATAAACCTCTTCCTCCTTTAGACTAAGACGATCACACACACACACACACACACACAGAGGTGTCCATCTTTCAACAGTGGCCAAGGACTCCAGGCTTCCATGTAGAGGAATGAAGACATCTCGTTTGTATGTGGTGTTTGTGTGTGATTCAGGTTGGTGTGAGGACCCATTCCCACTCCCACAGAGCACCAGCGGTGTAAACGGTGATTGTGATGAGCTCAGGTGTACTCACACAGGTGGCCGCAGCCAGCGGGGCAGTGGGCGCTGCTTTTGAGCCAGTTCATAATGTGCTCTAGATGTCCACCGTGGCTGCAGCCCTGACACCACACAAACAGTCCCTTCACCACATGGTGGCACACTGCACATACACTGGCACACTGGTGGCACCTAGAGTAGAGATGTAGGGATCTTGTCAGAGGTCGGCTCATGACTGAATGAAATTAATATTCAGTGGACTGTGAAGAAGTTGCATTTAAGACAACATGAGCAATAATGACAGGAATTACACTCGAAATACCAGCAGCTGGGAGCTGCTGCTGCTTGAAGTCCATCCCACAACAGCAATTTGTTTGTTACACTGCAGTTTTAGTACAGAATAAACAAACAAGATAGAACGTGTCAATTAGTGAACTTTAGAGATGCTAGCAGGTGGATTTGGTTACCTTTGGTCAGAGCCAGGCTTGTTATTTCCAGTCTTTATGCTGAGCTAAGATAGCTGGGCGCTAGCTGTAGCTTCATACTTAGTGTACTACAGATATGAGTGGTATCAATCTTATCATTATTAGATGTTAAAATGTTTTGCTTGTTTTACAACAAAAACTAGATGTTGGATCTCTCTAAAATTAAATGATGCATTTGATGTTCATACCTGTCACAAATCCAGCCCTTGTTGCTCATTGGTCGCTTGCAGTTGCTGCAGTTGATGTGCAGTGTTGTAGACGTCTGATTCAGGCAGGTGATGGCGCTGCACGTACTCAACTTGATGACCTCATTGGACACGTTCCACAACTCGAATCGCTGCAGCAGGTCTATGTAGGACATGTACCAGTGCTCCTGAAATGGAAACAAAACTTGTTGAGGGTTTCCTATTTGGTTTGCATTTTGCAGATGCAATTGCATTTTAAGACTTGGGTGTTTTAGTAGTGGACAGGAAACTATTTATAACTTACAGTCATACATAAGGCCTAAAAACTCCCTAAATTTTATATGCAAATACATTAAACCTAATATGTTTGACATGTGATCAGAGAAATACCTATCTATAGGAGCATTTTGAGCACAATACAAGCTTTTTTAACCGAAACACCTACTGCCAACAAAAAAACCTCTAGTCCAAAGCTGCTGTATTTAAATGCAGTTTTTACAACACTGAACAAGACAGCAGTGTTTTACTCTCTGACCTGGGTTAGGTCATCAATCTCTTTACGGATTCGGTCCCCCAAGACGATGAGCACAGACACGGCCATCTGTACGTCGCCCTGCTCGGCGTAGTAGCTCAGCATCTCCCGCACAATGGGGCAGAAGAAGCTGGCAGGTAGATGTGGGTTGAACAGCGGCTGGGAAATGGAGATGAGTGAGAAGGACTCGATGGGTGTCAGACAGGTGACTTCTGCCTCGTTGCCGCTGACATGTGGGGAGTCTGCTTTGTCCTGCTGAAGGTGCTCCGGAGCAGATGGGTTATCCATGATCTCATGGCGCAGCTGGAAGGCCTCCTGGGGCAGCGTGTACTCCTGCTCCTCTGTTACGACAATAGGAGCCGAGAGAATATTAGACAAAAGAGCGCTGAGCACGTAGGCAGTTATAAATAGCAGTTACTGAGGTTAGCAACTTTAATTTCTGCAGCGATGGGACTGTGACTAACCTGTTTGGTTGTCATGCTCCATAGAGTAGAGGTCATCGTCATCCAACTCCGCATCACCGAACATATACTCAGCCTGGCCCTCGCTGCCTTCTGTCTCCTCATTTTCTGAAGGGAAATTGAATGAATGGCTTATTTATACAAGTCCTGGATATTATACAAAGAACATACGGACAACCAGATTGGCTTCTAATTTTAATGACCTTCACCTTCATTATTATTGCTTATGTGCGAGTTCCCAGGCTCCAGGTGGATGTTGTCCTGCCTGCTTTCACCTTTACTGCGATCCAGTCTGCTCTCTGTGCCCATCACTGAACTCATTTCCTTCATGCTGAAACTGAAAGCATAATGTACATCAGCATTAGATGTTAGTCTGTAAATGAGTGGCATTACCGTTTTGAGATGGCACACTAAAAAGCTAATTTACCTGTTCATTAAAGGCAAGGTGCCCAGTTTACTGAGGTTGTGGTTTGGACCAGGTGTTGTGAGGTTTGCTGGGTCAGAGAACATAATTCTCAACATGGTCCATGTTGTGGAAACCTTTGAGTTAAAGAAAAGAAGTTAAGGTTATTTAGATTACAGTTATTGATCTAACAGGATGTTTTTATTGTTTATAATCTGATAATATCTAATAATAATAATAATGATTCTGATTTAAGTGTATTCACTTTAAATCAAGCAAGAAATATCTCAAAAGTGAAATGTTCATGAATAAACAAACAAATATTGAATATGTACAGAAAGTGGGACTGAAATTCTGCAGGCTCTATCATTATTATAAAACCTTAAAATAAAGAGTTTTTCTCTGTCATTATTTACACCATTTCTGATGATAATGGGGTATTAAGTTTGTTGATTCAATTAATGCAATTAACCCTAGCACAGTCATTGTAGTGCAAATGTAACAAGCCGTTTAGAGGTGCAGTGATTAGTCAATTAATCTATTTGTCAATGACAGAGGCGTCACCACTGGCTGTGTGCGTCTACATTTCTTTTAGCAAACAGTTAATCGAGAAAATAATTAGTAGACAAGCTGCAAGTAATGTGAAATATATCATCGTTTTGCATTAATACGACCACCAATTATTTGCCACGGTTACATTTAGAGTGACAACATCAAAACCTGGCTGGAAAAAACAGCTCTAAAAAGAGATCTGTTCCTGTATTGATCTGTCGGACCTGAGGTCTTTTGAGCTCCTGGGCCACCTTGGCATTGTGATCACACAGCTCAGCAAACGGCTTCCCACTGAGGAGGTAGAGTTGTGCTGTCTTGACAAACCAGTCCATGCGGTTACTGTCCAAATCTGTCTCAAAGACGCTAAGAGCGCTGGACACATGAGCAAACTGTTCTGTCGGGTCTGGCTTCTTGAAGAAAAAGATGGGGTAGCGGCGGTCGCCTCCAGGGTAAGGCTTTCTGTTGGCGTCACTGCTGATCAGACTCTCCTTGGCTGCAAAGGCCAAGTCACCGAACAGTCCGAAGCACAGACCCTCAGGGTTGGCCTTGTCCACAGGACGAGTGGCGTCCCTGAACATGTGTTGGTAGAGTGTGCTGTCCTTAGAGCCAGAGAGCAGGAAATGAGGGTCGTGCTGGTGGCGCCACACAATACCAGTGGTCACATCCTTGTGTTCCTCAAAGGTGGCGAAGGGAATAAAAGGCCTGCGGACATCCCACACGTAGATGTTGTGATCCACCATCATGGAACAGGTGGCTAAATGAAACTTCCTCTCAGGCCGCCACTTGACTCGTGCCACTGAGGCAATAGTCTGGACACAGTAGATCTCCTTGGCCCGGTTAGTGGTCATGTCCCACACTTTCACCATCTTGTCCCTGCCCCCGGTGGCCAGCCATCCCCTGAAATGGAAATAAAAGGAGAAAACTATCAGCTGACAACTAAAGCACTACTAATTGCAAGTGGCAGAGACAATACAAGATACCTTTAAATAGGAAAACCTCCAATTTCTCAGTTGGACTGCATCACAAAGTCACTTTCTCTTACCTATCATCAGGGTGCCAGTCGCAGCAGAACACAGGGCCGGTATGGGCGGTGAACATTCGCTCGTAGCGGTCCGGTCGCCTGATGTCCCACAGCTGGACGTTGCCATTCTCAAAGGATGCAGCAAAAGTGAAATAATCCTTCATGCTGAACTGGACGTCCCTGACACTCTCTGACTGACCTAGAAGAAAAATCAGGGATATTAAACAATAACAACCACAGATATAGTTTGCTTCATAATTTCTAACAGTGAAAACATTACTTCTGCTCCAACACATTGGTGATTTTATTTCTTTCACACAATATTCTACCTGAGAAAGTGCTGACAGACTCCTTCTTGCGCAGGTCGAAGCACTTCATGAACCCGTCCTGCGAGCCACTTAGCAGCATGTAAACCTCTGTGGGGTGGAAGCACACCTTGTTGACAGTGCGTTTGTGCTCAGTAAAAAGCTGGTCCTGCTTGTTACGAGAGGGTTTTCCCAGGTTCCAGGTGACCACCGCCCCATTGGTGGCAGCCGTGGCCAGCAGGTTCTCCTCCATCTGGTGCCACATGACATCTGCACAGCTGAAGTTGAGCGAGGGTTTGCGGCCGACGCGTAGATTCAGCTTCTCCACAAACTGCTCCTCCTCCAGGGCGTAGATCTTGAAGATGTTGCGGCCAGCTACCACCACCTGCGTGGCGTCACGGCACACGCTGATGGCGTTGGCAGGAGCGTCCAAGTGGCAGAACATAGTTCGACCACTGACGGCACTGCTGCTGAGGGCTGTGGTAACCCGTGACATCTTCTCCATGTTCCTGGTGACGACAACAATGATTTTACTTGAGCTCAGAAACAATAAAAGTGAGAAGATACATGAGGTGAACTGCAAATTGATTTACTACTTTTACAGCACTGCAAATATAAAATGATTTTAAGGCAGTTCATTATTTCACCAGAAGGTGGCACTCAAGCTATCTATCATATAAGATATCTAACTCATACAGTACTTGCTGTAGGGGACAGGAGAGGTGGCAGTGTGTAACAAAGAAAGAAATACACAGTATTATATCTTTCTCAACATGACACGGTTGCAGTACTTACTTGGTGAAGAACCACAAGCCTTGTCACAGTCTGCAGCAGCACAGAGTCCTCTTCATGTGTTCCCATGAGAGCCAATACGCTAGAGAGAGACATGCATGTGAGCAACACACCGCATGATACCATCTGAGTTTACTGTTAGGACTGATATATGATGCCTATCAGAAACTAAAGTAAAAAATACTGAATGAAAAATGTTAACTTGTAAACTTTCATCACACAGACATAGACAGCGACTGATGTATGCTCAAGTTGCATAGACATAACTGACTTAACATAGTTAATTATTATCAACTGAGGATTGACTATGAATCTAAGCATATACAAAGATGTTAAACTATTATTTGCACTTTCTGGATAAAACTATAAAATGAGATAAAAGAGAGTGAAGTAGGGAACTTCAGCTGCATATAGTCAAAGTCATTACATCAGGATTAAACCCCTTGAGATGTATAATCTCGTTTTTAAGGGGGTCCCAGAATAGCATATAATGGTCAGATGACACCCACCTTCTTGCTTTGGTGTAATAACAGGTTATTATTTTGAACACTGTCAGGTGTCCATTATGTCTGTTTATCTGTCTGTCGCGTTTCCTTCGTGTTAACCGCCTTTTACCTCGTGCTGGTGATGTATTAATAGCTGTTTTGTGCTCACATGATGATGTGTTGAAAGACAAAACGATCCCCAACAGTGTGTGAGTTAACACTTGATTGACAACCAGTACCACAACCCCACAACCTGATACCATCACACCCTTTATCTCTTGAGGTTGCTCACTATACTTCAGGGTTTAAATGTGAGCTTTGTATATCCAGTAGCCTCGGTTCACCTGTGTGCTGGTGTTGGCTGCCACTGGTTTCACTCTCTCAACTGTATTTGCACCATAAACATGGCTGGAATGTGATGCTAATGCTAGCTGGCTAACCTAGCTACCGAGCACTTTTGCAAAGACGAAACGTGCACGACACAAGTTTTACAAGTGTGCCGGACAGTTAGATAAATATGCCGAAGATGTGTCCTGTTAGGTAAGAGCGTATACGCAGAGTCAATAACAAAGTATTTCAGGGGACAAACCTTTCTGAAACTGTTGCTCACTGCTTGCGGTACCGGAAGTAGTATTTTTGCTCTGAAATCTCGCGGGAATTCCGTATGTCATAACGGAAGTCTCGTCACACGACTTCAGTTCATTCAGGAGTAAGTTGTAGATTATTGGTCCTTTTGTTTTGTTTTAAGTGTCCTTCAAACAAAAGGTGAACGCGGTGTTATTTTAATAATAATAATATGTTTAATGCTACAGTTCTACAGTCCATGCATGTAAAATAGAGGCCTTACAAACGTTGTTTTGTCTGTGTTTGTAGGTGATGGTGTGAGCTCCCTGCTGCCATGAGTACTCTGTTTGCCTGTGAGGACTCTTCCACATGGAGGAGTGTGTATGAGAAATACTGGGATGTAGTGGAGGCCAAGGCCAAAGGCAAGAAACCCGGAAAACTGCTGAACCTTGACAAGTGGTAAATCCCCTTTCCTTACAGCAACAGTTACAAACTCTCTACACAAAATGCTCTCATTCTTGAGTTAGGAAATAGCAGTTAACAAAAAACAATCCCAACCAATGACTGTAAATAAAGACTCCTTTCCTTCTCCAAAACTGTATCAGTGTCTTCCTCGTCAAAGAGGGTTTGCTCAGTTGTCATGGAAATTGATTTATAGAAATTACAGATCAGTGTTAAAGATTTTTTACACCTTTTTTTAAAAACACTTTTAGAACTTCTTGTTCATATTCGCTCATTATATCTCCATGACAACCGAGAAAACTCAACCTGCTGATAAAGGCCATATGATTAAGTTGAAAGATCTGGAAAAAGCTAGTAAGGGTTAGCCTAAGTGGACCTTGAGTTTGGGATCGTTTTTTGCTCTCTATTGTTCTTTGGTCTATTTCATGAATGTAAATATAAGTGTATATATGTATGGCTATAAATATGATATGAAATGTGTTTAGCCAACCTTGCTTTGCGTAGAATAAAGATAACTGATCCTAATCTGTGTGTATCTGTGGTCAGGTACCAAGAGGAGCTGCCCACACTCATTTCAAATCGACCTGACAAACGTATCACTCTGTCTGAGCTGGTGAAACTGATGGAGTGGAAGCTCACTGTAAGTAGCGTCTGGACACTAAATCCTAATAATCCCAAGGAGCACCCACACTCTTCAAGTAAATACTCCTATTATATCATAGAGTTAAGAAGAGGCATTGACAGCCCTCCGTGCCTCACCTGTGTCCTTGAGTGTCCCTGTGTGCTTTTCTGCAGAGGGGGAAGTTCAGGCCGAGGCTGCAGCAGCTGGCGGCTTCCAACAGTGAGGACACTGTGGAGAAATGTTCCAGAAAGGCCTTCAGCCTCCTACCTGATGTGCAAGCAGCGATCGCAGAGCTCAGCTCCCTAAAAGGAGTTGGCCCAGCCACCGCTTCAGGTTTGCGCCGGCACACAGGCAGATAGATCAAAGCTTAAGAATTCATACTGATAAAACATTTCTGTGATCCTCTTAAAGCACATAGTGATTGCCTTCTCAGTAAGCGTACAGTCCACACACTGGTGGACTGAGCGGCGGGACCCCCTGCTCTCTGTTTAAATAGTTTGTATTCACTTCATGGCTGCATTCAGCTTGGCTTGGGGCTGACTGTTCATTTTGCTCCAGCTGTGTTGGCGGCAGGAGCTCCAGAACAGACTGCATTCATGTCTGATGAAGCCATGGAGAGTGTACCAGGACTAAAGCCAATCCAATACACAGCCAAGCACTACGCTCTCTACCTGGGCAAAATGGTTGAGAGGACTGAAAACCTAAACAAAGGTGAGATAATGACAGGGAGTGTGGTTAGAAGTACATGTACTTTGGTGCTACAGTGCTGAAGATGTATCTGTATTCTGATTTGTCGATATACGAAAATATTTCATGTTTTATTGTTTTACAACATCGAATAAAAGTAAATTTTATCCTTTATCAGTAAAAACAAATGTATTTTAATGTATTTGATATTTTAATTGAGACAACCTTTTTTTTGACATTTTAGACATTTAAAGGTCTTTTTCTGTTAACACTATGGCTGCACAATATGGTACAAACATCATATTGTGATTGTTTTGGCAGAGATTGCAATATGATTGGTTTTGGGATGATTATTTCTGCACCACAAATTCAATTTTCAATGAAAAAAAACGATATAATCATATAAATTTTGGAGTTCGTACCAAACAAACATGTTTCTTTAATCTGGAGAACAAGATTTGTAGACCAGTACTTCATTATAATGCTGTTTTGTAGCACATTTAACTTTTTGCACATTGAACTTGGCCAAATTGTGATTTTGACAATATTTTATTAACTGTGCAGTCCTATTGATCAGCCACATTAAATCTGCTGTGATTGTGATGACTGGCCTCCCCTCTCGTCCTCAGTGGATCCCCAGCAGGACTGGACGCCACACAGGCTGGAGCTGTGTTTGTGGGCGATGACCATAGCTAATCAGCAGCAGCTCCCACTTCTAAAGGATGTTGATGTGAAGGCCAGCAGTGTGGTAGAGAAGTGCTCAGACGCTAATCAGAGACCAGCAAAGAAGCTCAAAACAAGATAAAAGTGACAACTATTGCACAGTATTTTTTTTTAACATTAAACTTACTTGAATGTTTGTCATTTTTTTGTATTTTTCATAAATAATAAAGTCTTTATATCCAATAGAGTGCATTGAGCTTTTGAGTTTTGTAGAACTTATGGGGTGAAGTTTACACAAAAGCCTGTGTAAAGTTTATGTAAAAGCCTTCAACCACATTTTCATGATCAATTATGCTCAACATGTGTGTGTAAGTATGATCTAATAATACAGTGTATGTAGTTCAGTCATACAGCAAAAGTAAAAGTCTTTCTTTGCCTGGACTCCAACTGCAACTAACAATTATTTTGATCAATGTTCATATTTTCTTTATTAATCAAATTACCTATAAAATGTCTAAAAACAGTGAAAGATGCCTATCACACTTTGAGCCCAAGGTCGCATCAATTCTGAACAATAATCCAAAAATATTCTGTTATAGAGGACTAAAAATACATATGAAAAATATTTTTTTGATATTGATTGATTCATCTTCAGTTCTATGATAATTATTTTGCTCAAACACACTAACAATAGCAGTAGGATGTTGCCACAGTATTGTTCTTTATTTATATTGTTTCTAAATTAAAGCAAAGTACAATGAACAGTACAAAATAAAACAAAATATATTCATATATATACAATATAAAATGGTTCCGTTCAGAACATTTAAAAAGTACAATAGATTGTGAAATAATTAATGAGGACTTTGATATAAATTATCCATTTGTAAATTTAGTTTTCCTTCAGTTTCCTCATGACCGAGAGAAAAATAGCTTCTTCTGCTTTTTCTTTTTGTAAACGCTGTGTTGGCACAACCTCTTGTCTGGTCTCAGAGATTGAACCTCATAAGCTTGGCACCATTTTATCGATACAAGTAAGCAGCTCAGGAAAAAAACTACCACAGCAGCACAGATGTGACTCTTTTTTTTTTTCTTTCATTCTAACCCGTTGGAGGGAAACAACTCTGATTTTAAGAAACCACCTGTGATGTTTGCATGATGTCGAGTGGCTCAGGCAGTTTTTGTGAACATTAAAAAGAATGTGTACCAAAGCTAGAAACTGGGAAACTTTAGCAATGTTTTCCATTACAAACCAGAAAATATACCCTCATCTCCAGAGAGAAACCCTGAATACTCTCACAGACAAACTTTTTTATGATTGTTTCTAGCTGTGGTAGACAAAAATCAGTGTTCACTAATCCACTTGAAAACCAGAATGTTCAGAGGCATTCCTCATTTAAAGTTTAATACTGTAGACTTTAAATTTTAAGCATAATGGAAAGCTGGAGAGATTGCTGAACTATGACAACCTGCAAGCATTGGGGTTCATAGATGCATGCTTAGTCTGCACTGACTTTTTGTGTCCAAGCCAGCTTTACTGGCTAATTAACACAAATTTAAAATGAGTTTTTCACATTTTGAAACCTCACCAGGGTAATTTGGGAACTAAAACCAAATATTTGTATATTTGTACTTTTGGGGCCTTAGAAGCCTTAAACTAGCATTTCATGTTTCATCTTCAGCAAACCAATGCACTGGTGAGCATCCAATTTCTGTTGTAAGTACAGTTCCATCTCTGGAGCTACAGTCGCCTGCTTTACCTGCACAGTCCTGCAGTAAGACTTGGCCACAATATGTATACGGATATATATATATATCTAAGTGGCAATAAAAACTAAGACAAGGCAACCTGGCCGGCTTGTTGGCAAGCAGCAGTTCAGAGCAGCTACTTAATAACTTCAACTGTTTGTACTGCGGCTTCTTCCTCTTATGGATTCTGTGCATGTAGAATATACCATACAGCTAAGAGTAAAGCAGCCTTTCTGCCCGGTGCTCAGTCTTGGGCTTATATACTATAACAAGGCATTGGGCATAACAGCACAATGGATTGGCAGAGGGAGGTAAAAAAGCATCAAAGAATGTTTATGGCAGTAGAGAATATGGCACACGCCAACACGTCGGTTAACTACATCTTAATAAGTGCAACAACAAAAAAAGCCCACTTATGACAAAATACAGGAAATAAGGAACATCAGTCAGATAAATGTCAAGTATGCTGCAATTCTGAATGAAACGAGCACAGAAATAAACAGTATTTTGGGTGCAGTCACATCAACAAGGGTTCAAACAACTTGGCACTAACCTTTATACATCATCTCACAGACATGACTGTATCGAAACCAATCGAAAGGAGCATGTGGCTCACCCAAAGTGATGGATCACATGTTGATAGTCTGCCCCTATTCAGGCTCATCCCACCTCCCCCCGCCCCCCACCCCGTGCATTCCTTATACTGCTGAAAACAAATATGTCACTCAAAGACGGCAATTAAATTAACATCATGCAGCCTGTCAGATCCACTTATTAAAGGAAGATATCCTGTTTACGGTCTAGCTTTGGGCTCTGGTGTATCCTTGCGACAGCCATGCATCATCCTGACACCGGGGGTGTTGTGACATGAGCGCGACAGGATGGGAAAGCACGAAAGCTGCTTCTTTACAGCCCTGCTGAGGTTTTCTGCAGAGCGCCGGCGCTGTCTGTTGTACCTGCCGTCCCTCCATCCCTCACAGACCAATACCGTCACATGCCGTCAACCAGAGGATGTGAGTCAGGCCTCCATCAATTCTCTCCTTTAAGATGAGCTGCTGTCTGAGTGCAGGAGAGGCCTTTTGTCAGACACGGACATGACTTTTTAGAAGGTATGTTGGTGCTGTGGTTTAGGCTCAGGGCCAGGAGATTTGGCTTACAGAGAAGTTATAAACTACTCCTGAAAACTTTCCTCCCCAGCCTTGTTGTTCATTTTCTCTTGCTATTGTCTGCGTTTGTTTCAGAAAAGACTTGTACAAATAACAAATGAAACACTGGACACTCTTCACTCTGTATGAAAAGAACTCAATCAAGTATCATGTTTTTGAGTTTTAGGGTCATCAAGAATTCACAAGCCTTCGATTTTAGTCCTGCATGTACTTCCAGGAGGGGTAATATTCACAGTTAATGTGTTCTACAAGAACATAGCCATTTACTAGCCCTTTTTACAACCCTTCTGGGTTCCTATGAATCTAAAGTTAAAGAGGCACATTAACCTCCTCTCAGGCATCCTCTTTATCTTCATTATAGGCTAACAGGATATGTATGCATTATTCATCAATGTATCTTTTCTATCCTAAGCAATAATATTTCCTAGTATACACAAGAGTTTCCATCAAGGATCCATTACTACTACGTATTGGCTGATATTTTCTTTTTTTTTCTTTATGTATCTGAAAATGGCTTATTCTGGCTATTTCATACAGATTCCCTCATTTAACATGGAGTCTTCCGTTACAAATGACAGTTTCATGTGGAAGCAAATGCTGAGGACTGTATTTATGACCAACTATCAAAATTGGCAAATGCATAAAAAAAAATTCCCAGGCAGCCAGTGGACATTTAAATGAATTATTGATTGAATGACTGAAAAATGGAACGTAGCATGAGTAAATGTAATTGCTATCCCCGCCTGAGCTTTCCAAAAAGCTTGAACCACTCCGCAGATAATATATGACAGAAGCCCTGTTCATAATTTGTTATTTGCAAAATAAGAACTGCCGGCGAGGCGTCTGCACACTGCCGGGGACAGTTTGGAGATGTGGGCACTTGCAAAAATGAAGCTGCATCCACTACAAACAAGTCGGCGAACAAGCTGTAAAAATGAGTGTAGCTACGTGAAAATATAAACAGTCCAGAGTTTCACCAGCTTGTACTTGCACAGTTTGTCTTCTTTCACCTAAACCTGTTGAATATTTCACGACGCAGAAATGAAGTTTGATCACACACACAAAAAAATTGAGTTTCACTGAAGCTACCAATTAGCAGGGTTCAAATCAGCAAACACCTTTTTTTCCCTCTGTGTTTGCCCTCTCGAATTAGTTCTTTCTATGGCTTATTTTGTAAAGCACTAAAGATTTATAAAATCAAGTGAGCTCGAGTCATCGGTGGTCATCTAACAAACCAGGGGATTCTGCCTCATAGACTATTTTTCAGAGGATCAAAGCCATACAGGAGTTATTAGGAGAACAACAATCATAGCATTAATTTTGCACCATTTGAAACTTTTCTCTTTTCCCCCTTCAAAGAGGAAAAAAAATACAAATAAATATACTCTTGGTTATGAACATACAATATACACATCCACTATCAAATGAAAAACAGGGACAACTTAATAACACTCTTTTTTTCTTTATAGGTACATTCCTTTACAAAAGTATACAGTCCCTAAGAATGAGAAACTGAGGTATAGACTGGGCCTGACAGAGAGACCCCAATGCCCTCTGGGACACGAAGGTCAGAGGTCAGGTGATGACACATCCGCGCCCTCCCCAGTTCAGTCTGTCAGAGCGAGAACAGGCAGAGGCCAGTACGTGTGTATGTTCGTGTGTGTGTGTGTGTGTGGTTTTCTTCTCTTCAGTTTGTCCACATTGACCTACAGAATCAGGCAGTGGCTGCTCTCAAAGACAAAGAGGAGAAATATGTGTGTGTTTGTGTGTGTCCTTGTCTCGCCGAGAGCCACAGAGCATGACATGGCATATTTTACACGGTGCGCCTAGCAAGTTGGTGGTTAGCGTTTGACACAGCAACAGGAGGAGTTGACTCATTTAAGTGACGACCATCCGGGAAACTTGTCGTTTTCTCAGAAACTTATTTTTCTTTCCTCTCCTGTCGCGCAGTCACTTTCATTTCCCATCTTCATGTCTTGTCCAGTGTTGTGTGAACTATGTTTCTGTATCCACAGTGTAGGTATAATGTCATGGAAATAATATAGAAAAAAACTGATGTCGTCTTATTTTTTTAAAGACCCCATCAAGTGAAAATGACTGTAATGCCTCCGACTTTAAGGTACTCCTACAAGATGACAGAATCCACATAAAACTTGCATTTAAAACTTTTTCCTCTGTTCTTTCCTGCAACTGCTCTGGGAAAGGGGGGGGGGGACAATGAATTTTGACGGATGCTTTATCATCTACTTAGCCGCTTCATTTGAAGAAAACCTTCTGTTAGCTGTTTTTTGTTTTTCACTTAGTGTGCCAGCAATTTTGCAAAAAGCTGCAGTGACCCCTGTGAGTTACACCAGGGTTGGGGAAAAAAATCTAATTTCACTGGTGCTTCTGTGAGTTTTCTACAAAGAAATAAACATGCTCTTCCTGAAAGTCCTCTTTAAATCTCCTCCTGTGGCTCTGATTTGTGCCACAGCCAAAGGACTCAGATTCAGGCGTCTACCCTGCTCTAGTGCCTTTAAACAAAACACTGAAACCCTCTTAGTTTAAAGAGGGGTTGCTGCAGTTGATCCTGATCTCTGAACTTTACGACAGACGACACTGTCACCGCAGCACACACTCCTACAGTTTTCCTCCCTTTTATTCCCCTATACCAGAGGCAAAGTCAGATCCTTCTTACTTGAGGTCTTAACATGTATGAAAGATGCACTCAAAAGAAACGAATGATGACATAGCTTTTCAAAAAAGCCTTTGAAAGAAAAAGAGCACAATGGTTGAATGCTCACTGAAAGATTAGTGCTGGTAATGTGGATGAGATTTCAATGTGTATATATAAAAAGATATAATGCTCCTCAAAATGGATCTGAGGAACTTTCACCTGTACTTGTTGCTACTGTAATCCCTCTTTAATAAAAGAGACATATTTTCTTTGATTTGCAAAGTATCTGTAAAAAAAGATTCTTGATTGATTTTTAGTTTTGAATGATTTCATATCATTTCATTTGGGTCTAACTTGAGAGGAAATGGGAAAGTTAACTATGGTCAAAGGGGAACCTTTGTTTGGAACAGGGTTTGGAGTCAGTGTGCATGTGGAGGAGGGCCTATTGGTGGGGTGGGGGGCCATCATCAGGGAGCAGGAGGTATCTGCACCCCCAGCAGCTCATATGCAAAGATGTTCCAGAAGATGGCGAAGAGGAGGAAGGTGATGAAGGAGAAGACGATGACCCACCAGGAGCACTGTTTCTGCAGGCTCTCCTCGTAGCTTCGAAGAATCAGCAGCCCCATGCTGATACCGACCACAGCCCCCGACAGGTGTGCCATGAAGCTCGGCTGGGGCCCCGATGAGGGCAGCGGGGGTGAGAAGCGGAGCCAGACTGCACGACCCACCTCCGAACTCACTGTGGAGGGTAGATCAAAGACAGAATGAAGGTGGAGAAATCTCTTTAGTATCTGCTCATGACTCTTTGACTGGTTTTTCACTCTGTGGTTTTTGTATGGAATAAACATATAAATGAGATATGAGCTTCAGCAGAGTGGTGGGCCACACTTGTTATCCTCGGACAGAGACAGGTTAGCTGTTTCTCCTCGTTTCCAGTTTTTGTGCTGAGATGAGTTAACCATCTGCAGGTTGTAGCCTTATATCTAACATAAATGTGAACTGTATCAATCTTCTCATCTTCCTCTCCACCAGAAAACACATCACCCATATCAGCCATTAAAATCAGTCGGCCTCTGAGTCTCAACCCGCTGACATGGTTCTTAAAATGCAATTAAAGTTAGAGGATTATCTTGAATAACAGGGCGGTCTTAATTTGAAATAAAGGCACCATGATGAACACTCATGATTGGTTGACTGATAATTATATGATTGCATTTAAATGACAGAGGTGTTAAGGGAAGCCATGCTCTCAGGAAATTGACTCACAAAGCTCTAATCTAATTGATTTGTGCTCTAAATAGTGATTCACAACATTAATGATGTATGTATGTAATCTATAAAGTGATTCCCTGCTAAATTCTCATATATGGCCATTTTTGTGTGTTTAAATTTAAATATATACCGTGTATACTTAGGATTCAAGTGCTTTTAATACATTTGAGAGTTCAAATGATAAATCCCCCATGACTATGTCTTCTGGCTTTCCCAGTAACTCTCATTTAAAAACATCATCATCCTTCTAAGAAAAGGAATCCTTTGTATAACGCATAGACCTATAAATAACAGGGCCTAGGACTGCAGCTGACTTCACGCCAGTGCCTGAAGATGAGCTATACAGTGCATTGTAGTAAAGTGTTTTATTACAGTCTATATTTGCGGGCAAAGAAAGGTCACAAGAGGATTTAAATGGATCTTTATTCTAAAAATTGCTTTCAAATGGTATTTGTAGTTGTTTGTTGCTGCTCCTCCAATGTCTCCTCAGCTGAATGGATACACATAAAACTGGAGCAAATATTAATTCAGTCTTCACAGTATCTCACAAAACAATGTGTCACATTTTATTTTGAAATGCTGTATTCCCTGTTTGTAAAACACTGAGGAGAAATATCACATCCCAGCAGAGACTCGCTGTTCTCTCAGTTCGGGGGCGGCGGGCTCGGGACAGATGGAGGGAACATATTGCTCACTAATGAAAGTCACAGTGTATCGGCCCTCGTGTGGAGAAAAGGGACAAGTAGTATGACTCAAAAGCTTTGAAAACAAAGCAACATGTCCAATCACGGAGCCTCTCACTCTGAGCAATTAACAAAGATACTTGAGTAGCATGTCTGTGGCTCAGCTTTAAGAGGTTCTTAAACCCCCACTCAGATGATAAACCCTCTGCTACTATACTGAACTGTAGACAGGTGTGCTAACATGAAATACGCTGAAAATGAAGGGGGCACACACTCCTTATTTAATGATTGAATGATAAATACAACATGAAAAACAACAGTTTGAGAGTGAATCTGGACAACTTACTGCAAACTAGCGCCAGGATCATGCGGAGCAGCTTGTATGGACAGCGCATCCCGGCCCAGTTCTGCAACACAGAGCCAAAGTGTCTCGTCAGCACAAACAATCACGACACCAATAACCATTATATATATATATATATATGTGAGTATATTAAGAGCCTGTGAAGAAATGCCTCCGTTTCTATCCTCTGGACATATTTAGACCTGAAAGAAACACAATCCATATCCTTTTGAGAGAGGAGGCAGCACACAGACACGATTATACACCTGGCTGCTCTTCACTTGCTGGTTCCAACCCAGTGGCACTCTATTAATTAGGGCTAAGATAATTTAACAGACGAGGAGAATGGGCCAATGAATAGCTCTTTTGATTCTCCGGGTGGAAAAGAACAATGGCATCCAGACTTAGAATAACACATTTACTCCCCAGGATGAAAAATTGTACCAATCACATTCCTCCTTACGTTCCTGGCTGTGGGAATATGACCTGTGTTTCTCCCCTTCTCGCACAGCAGAAACAGAAACGGTGAACGCCATGCAAAATTAAAGACGGAGAGGGGAGTATAAATAAAACCTGCCATAGGTTGGAGTGGCAGTGACTGTAATGTCACAATATTTCTGCAAATAAATGATTCATATCGAGGAGGGGAGAGGTCAAGTGCAGAGGAGGAGGTCTGAGATGGGTGTGATGTGGTGCTGCTGCTCTCTGATGGGAGGCAATTTGCTTTAACATGCCTCCACTGCCACAATATTTAACCAAAGGACAGCCAGTACATTTTTTCTCTGTTAGAGACCTTGTTTATCACATGGCTGACACAGAAATGCTGAAGGAATCTGACGTGTGTGTGTGTGTGTGAGGAGCAGAGGATCATGCAGAGACTCAAAGAAAGAGTGATTGCTGCTTAGAAGACACAAATATAAAATCTTAAAAAAAGAGCAAATTTTTCTTTAAAAACTTCAAGAACTATAAAAAAAGATTTGAGATTTAAGTGCAATATCAAAAGTTGAATTTGTGCGCTACATGGTTCCAAGATGTATTCTGACAGTTTAGCTGGAGCTGCACGACTTCCAGGGAGTCACGTCCACGGCAGTAGTCTGAAACTTCACTGAACCTGAAAATGTCTGTTGAGCGAAAAGGATGATGATGCCTGATGGCAGATGGCCGGGAATTTACTGGGTCGAGACCGGACAAGGTTTCAAGATTTCCTTCAAACAACAGAGACAAGAAAAAAAACCAGCGGAGCAGAACTAAGACGTCCTTTGAAGGATTTCCTAACAACAAACATGCATCAAGCATAACAGACCAAATAAACTGCCTGTTAGCTGCTACGAGCACACACTTACAGTTACGGAGGCTTTGCTTTGGGCCTGCCAGTGCACTTTGATTTCTATCCCTGCTGGCATCTCCACTGCCCACAGTGAACAGCGACAGTAGTTAAAGTGATTCGTCAGATGTAACACCGCCTCGAGAGTTGAAGAGAACGTGGAAGGCACATGTAAACCTTGTGACAGAGAACCACACAAAACAACTGCTGCAATTTACTACTTATTTTCTTTCACTGGACTCAAATAAACACGGTCTTAATAATTAATACAAGTGTCTGAAACTGCACTTCACGTCTTTAGGGTACACTACTCATCGGCAACGTTCAGCGAGAGCTTCTCCAAAGAGGTCACATGTAATATTCAACGGCACTTTTCCAAAAACTACTGGGCAATAAAAATTATTTATCACTGATGTGATCCTACTGCAGCAAGGGAAAAAAATAATCTAACTGAGTCCAACAGTGAAGCCCAGGATGTTGGCGAGAGTGTGCGGTGTCTCGGCCTCACACCATGCGGACAGCTCTGACATTTCGTCTCTATTGAAAACCCACTTTCAGATGTAACAATGGAGGCGATGATGATGATGACAGTTACCATGACGACGTTGGCCAGATGAGCCGAGCACAGAGCGTAGACCCCCCCGGAGCCCCCCACCACTGGAGCCCGCATGTCGGTGATGGACACTGTCAGCGAGCCTGTAGAGAGACAGTGAAAGAGAGATAGATTGGGAGTGTAGATGTACGAGAGAGAGAGAGAGAGATAGAGCACGCAATGCAGAGAGAAGAGAGTGTGTGTGGGGAAGAGAGAGAGAGAGAGAGAGAGAGAGATAGAGAGAGAGAGAGAGATAGCAAAGGACAGCATTTTAGAGCAGAGGGGAAAAACAAAGGGAGAGTCAGATTACTCATCACGCAGCAGCACGAGTCACCTTCCTCTGAGCATTTTTTAAATATCTCTGAGTAAAAATCACCCTCTGCTCACAGGGACTGCTACATCAGCTGACCTTCACGTGCCCTTTTATTACACATCTAGAATACACGAGACACACACTCAAGCACACACACACAGTACAGTATTGCTTAGGGTTTTTTCCCGTCTGCTAAAACTGCCGCTGACTAATTCTATTAAAAATAGTAAAGAACTGAAAAAAAGGAATATTTCCTTAAATGGATTTTCCTTCAATTAAAAAAGTTCAGGAAACAGGCGAACCTTGCTGAAGAGGATAATTTGCAATTTGTGTGCTCTAAAGATACTTTGTGTTATATTCATGAGCAAAATGTAATCTGGGATATGCAGATATGGATGGAAGCCAAATGTGCCGTTTAAAAAAAGATGTAAGTTTTAATATGATAAGTACAGCGTTGGTCATGGCAGGGATAAAGGCATGAACATTATGACACTGTAAAATGTTTGCTCACTTGTAACGACGTCCACCTCCTAAATACTGTTACATATGAACAAAAAAAATCGTATTTAGTGTCTTATTTGGTGTCTTGTAACTCACTTTTTCAGCGTGAGCGCTTACAGGCCCTGCACACAGGTGTTTTCAATTACTCTGGCTAATTAGACCTCTAGTCAGGTTCAGCTTGAGCCGTGTCTGTAATTATCTGATGTCCCCAAACTCTATCGACTAATAACAATAATAACGATGTTAAACGGTCCCAACCCCTGACAGGCGCGACCAAACTGACGCAAGACCGAGGGAGCCGTCAGTCAAACGCAGGTCTGTGCACGCCCCCACACAGTCTTGAGAAGAGGTCTAATCAGGTAAAGTGAAAACACCTGTGTGGGTGGACAATGTCTGTGAAAAGAGTCTTTCAGCATCAGTCTGTCAGCAATAAATTAATAAATAAGTATTCAATCTTAGAAAAAACTAAGAAAAAAAAGTTTCAAAGTCACAGTTTGATTGACGTCCAACCACTTATATTGTATTATTTTCTGTTAGTATAAAATGTTTTTTATACTAACTGCTAAATCAGTATGCCATGTTAATTAGTATATAGTATATTAACAGTCTAAGTTAGTAAAAAGTCACAATGTATATGAAAATGCAAAAACATATTCTTCTTGATTCTTGAGATCAGCTTGATGTGTTAGAAATCAGTATCTATGAACAATAAAATTTGCATTATGTGGGCATCTACCTTTCATACCATCTGTATGAGTGAAACATATTCTTTTCTCATGGTGGAGAGGGTTTTCTTCCTCCTCTAGCATACATTTAAACAGGTATTAATATTGAATGTCAGTGCAGAATGGTAGGTCTTTGCTTATGTTATGTTATTTTCATGGACTGACACAGAGTTCAAGTATTTAGTGTTTGTGTTTAGCGTTCAATCTTAACCCCTTTCAAAGAGGAGGTGTCGAATGTACACATGTTTACTCAAGTAGAAGCCTTGACCTGTGTAAAAAAAAAAAAGGTTCCTGTAAAGAAATACTGATTTAATTTATTTTCTCACAGAAAAGTAAAGACGTCCAGGCTTTGAAATGTAATAAAATATAAAAGTACTCTCTTGGTTTCTCTAAAAGACATCTTTACTGGCTGTTTTAGTGTAAAGTATCAAATAGATTATTAATATTAAGAGTTGGAACCGATTTGAGAATATTGTGTTGTGTGTGTGTGTATGTGTGAAAAAATTAGTTTTAAAGAATGTAAAATGTGTGGCTTTGTACTGAAAAATGGGACTTTTTATTCTGAAAACATGTTTGAAATATTATACGTTTCCTATTTTGTAAATAGTATATATATATTTTTCAAAGGATGCTGATAATATTGCTTTATGTACTTACTAGCTGTGGTGATCTATAGGTAACCTTGGTGGAGGCAAGGTTCTCAAAGTCAGAAATTGAAAGTGTTTTGCTTTCTACATCGCTGTGTGGGGAATATGCCAGTGTGATGTTTAGCCAGTTATTAATGAGAAAAGTGTTTAAAGGTGTATAAAGATATAATCCTGATTACAGTACAGCGCACCTGCTGCTGCATTAGGGGTTGCAGTGACACTATGAAGTAGGACAGAATTCCAAGCTGGAGAAAATCACAGTGGCAGTTGCTTGCGAGGACAGCGTCAGACACTGTTAATTATGCAAATGAGCTGATAAGGGAAGCGGAGAGGGCTGATAAAACAAAACAGCCTCTTTTTAATCACAGTTGGGGTTTGCTGGAGTTGTGATCTCAGATCTATAATGCATGTTGTAACATTCATATTCTGTGTGTGCGTTGTGAGACTGCACAGAGTAAACATCGTCTTAAAGAACGCCTTGTCAGCCCGTGGTGGCAGTGATGATCATAGAAAGACAGATGGTAATCAGAGCGCATTCCTGAGTCATTCATCTCTCCTCGCTCAGACACCTATGGGCTATTTTATGTGGATTTATGGGGCATATGAAGGTTGGCTCTTCAGCTAAAGATTTGAGGAGATTCACAGTGCCCTATTTTTAGTAGTTCCACAAAATTGCAATTACACAGTGTAGCATACAGTATGTGGTCTCTGATCTCTTCAAAGTAAAGGAGAAATTGAATTGGAGCAACTTCAGCAGCATCAACATCTGAGTTTCACTTTAAGTCTTTTCCGGAGCTTCACAACTATTTTTACAGTTTCAGACTTCAGTGTAATGGAGCTGGGAGATTCATGAAATATAGATAGAATGACATGAGAGTTATGGTCTGGATATTTAAGCATTAGTAATATTGTGTGCTTAAATTTAGTCTCTAACAACAATGGGTGGTGTTAAAATTTAAGTTTAGAAAAGTTTTTTTCTATTTATGTATCCAGCAGACAAGTAAGCAACATTAGCATTTATTTGGAGCTGCATTTTTGGCCTCCTGGTCCGATATTTCTCTTTTTTGTAATTCTTTTCTTTTCATTTCCAACTCCTGAGGCTCTTTAGCTCCTAAATGCTCTACTATCTTCACTAGCTAATTGCTAACTTTACCTATATTTGTTTGGTTACCTTTTGTAGTGAGTTTTTAAGAAAAACCGCTGCCCATGGAGGGAGTGACTCAAAACAGTAAAGCTGTGGAGTGTAAAACCATAAGTTAAAAGCAGTAGGTTACCGCTCCTTATAGCTGAGGGGAACAGCAGACCTAGGATATATCCTCTGTGGGTTCACCACCTGCTACCTCCTTCACATTACTCACAGTAACTTGATCCAATATTAATATTAAAATCTTGATGGAGCAGCTTTAAGAGAAGCAAAGTGGGCTATTTGGTTTCTAACATGACAGTTAACACCAGCAGAGACCACCTCTTTATAGGAGACAATTGTCAAGATGTGACACCACCATCTGTGGGTGAAGAAGAAAAGACAACCTGAGACCTCCGGCTCAGAGGAAGAGACGGGCTCCAAAGGGAGGAAACAAACTGCTCTCTCCTCCTGCTCGCTCTGCTTTGGTGAGAGGCTCCCAAATACAGTATGAATATTAAACAGGCCTGTCATGTGGGCTCTCCTGCTTAGGGGGATTTTAAGATTTAGGATTCTCACACTCAGCAGGAGCTGAGGCGTAAGGTGCACGATTATTTCAGAGTCAAGTTGACACATTCCATCTCACGGACAGATTATTTATTGTTGCCATCCTGAAGTCATCATCAGCATCCTCGAATCAAAGTGCACTGAAGTGTAGACAGTGAAAATTATGTACTTAATACTGTTTAGACTAAAAGTCAACTGCACACTCAGGGCTATACTCAATCTACCGCAGTATAGTCCCCAATGCAGCTATGAGAACTGAGCCTCTGTCAATCCATATGTGCTACACCATTACCGTTACTCCAGGCTGCCCTTAAGCTATAGGTCAACTTTGTATTTTTCAGTCTCTCCGGGATAAGGTGTAGACAAGGGATGGTAAACTGATGCAAGGCCAGGGCTTGACAGTGCCTGAGGCTGCACCTCTCTGTAGCCACTCTAGTGGAGGCTGCGCCAGAACACAGTAATCCCTGGAAAACACTTACAACCCTGATGCTTTTCACTGTCTGCTTTCTAGAGTTTGTATGAGTGGGTAGCTATCGACTGTGATTACTTAGAGTTTGTAGTCTATCAAGAGTCCCTGAAGAAATGTGATTGATGTGGGTTTTTAATGATAAAATTGGTTGAATAGATGTTTTAAAAAACGTCTAAATGGCTGTAAATGTCAGCGTTTAAAGGTGAACATATTAGATCATCTTAGCCTGTGTGGTTGATCAAAAATGAAGCATTCATGTGTATAATGAGATTTCTCTGGTGCTAGTTTTTATTTATTCATATTATATATATAGGTTTTCCCAAAGATAAACCTGGACTGATTCATATTTGGGGGGCAACATAACAAGTAGAACACACCATTGACATGTACTCATAAAGTTGATAAGGCTGAATATTTTAGCAGTTGACTATTTACACATCTAGCTGACATGGAAAAACATTAGCATTCATTTGGAGATGTGCTTCAGGCGACCTAACCAACGTAAATCCAATATTCAGTCTCGTTTTAGCTCTCTTTGGTTTTCATCAACTCCTGAGGGAAATATTTGTCTCTTTAGCTGCTAAATGCTCCACTATGTTCACCAGTTAATTGCAAACTCTGTCTGTCGTTTGGTGCTGGACAGGTAGCGTTCAGTGGCTGTATCGGAGTATTTTACAATAAAAACAGCTGGCTGCTGTGTCTGTAAACAACACAGATGAGAGCGGTGAGACTGAACCAGAACAGTAAAGTTGCAGGGCA